CACAAGGTCCTGCAGACTGTTCCTCCAGCCCCAGGTCTGTATTAAAGTATACGCTTGCAGACTATTCCTCTAGTCCAAGGTCTGTACTAGAGGTATAGTCCACCAGACGGTTCATCCAGCCCCCAGCCCCAGGCCTTTGGAGTGAAGCACACCACAATTCAGGTAAGGCCTTGTTCACACCATCCTCCATGCGTTTCAGCCCGATTGTGGCCGGAACGCACTGGATCGCATTGCGGCTGGCTCAGTTTGTTGTGGGGTGGGAGTGGCGGTGCATTGAAGTGAATGGCACTGCAGCCACGCCCTCCGGCCGCAATGAGATCGGCCGCACAGGGACGCAAGGCACATCAATGCCCGCTGTCCGGTCAAAAAAAATGCTGCAAGCGCTATTTTTTCTGACCGGACCACAGGCATTGATGTGCCTTGCATCCTTGTGTGGCCGATCTCATTGCGTGGCGGTGCATTGAAGTGAATGGCACCGCAGCCACGCCCACTCCCGCCCCACAACAAACTGAGCCAGCCGCAATACAATCCAGTGGAACGCACTGAGGATGGTGTGAACGAGGCCTTAGCGGGAGGGAAATGTTTGAGGGCGATTTTCACAGTGTGGTCCTCTCCCTACTAAAACCTCTAATTACCTCCTGTACCTAAAACCCGCAACCTCCATAACTTCTTCCCACCTATGTTCCCCCCTACACTCCAAACTGATGAAAAAGGCAATTGGATATAGCTTTTTAGGCCCTATGGAGTCTATAGGAATATAACAAGCCAGTGTATGTACAGGGCCGGCGCTAGCGCAAGGCAAGATGGGCACTTGCCTTACGGCGCCAGGGAACAGGGCGGAAAAGTCGCCCGATCGAGACCAGACTCAGTGTGTGGGCAGCGGGCTGCCGCTGCGGGCGGGCGGCATCTGAAAGACGAGTCCCCGGCCGCCGGCCGCAGCGGCGCTGACCTCTGCAGTCACGTCTCAGAGACTCAGCGACACTCTCCTAGGGGGGGGTATATTCAGCAGCAAGTGAAGATTTTGTCCCTGAAGTTGATGTGTTAGAAGCAGAAAAAATGGGCAAGTTTAAGGATTTGAGGGACTTTGGCTAGGGCAAAATTATTGCTAGACAGTTGGGTCAGAGCAACTCCAACACTGCAGCTCTTGTGGGATGTTCCCGGTCTGCAGGGGTCAGGACCTATAGAGAGTGGTCCAAGGAAGGAAAACTGGAGAATCGGCCCCAGGCTCATGGACAGCCAAGGCTCCTGAATCCATGTGGGGAGCGAAGGCTGGCTGTGCAGTCCAATCCAATAGAAGAGCTACTGTAGCTCAAATTGCAGCTACAGTAGTAAAAGTAGTATTAAACGCTCAAACTTTTTTTCAATAATGAACCCAGATCAACCAAATATGCATTGCCAGCAAAATCATTTCTTTATATTTTTGCCCAAGAATTAACTGTCAACTCTCGCAGCTCACCTTCCCTGAACATCCTGTACAGTACAAGATCACAGGGGACAGCACATTCCACAGCAGATATCCATCAAATAACTTAAGCAGGGTATACACTCTTAAATTCTGATTGCATTGCATTCTGATAGCAGCCGACAGCCACTGTTAGAATACCCCAATGGTGCTTGAAGCTGATTGGCTGCGAGCACTGTTTAACCAAAGATTTTCCAACATGTTTGTCAGCAAAAGTCGATTTAATGATGGAATAGGGTACACACGGAGCGAATATGGCCCAATTCCTGCTGATTCAATAGAGATTTGCTGTGTGTAGCATACTTTCTATTAGGGGGGGAGGAAAATGGATTGCCTTGGTGTTCCTTTTGTGTTTGTGGGGACACACACAGCTTACTGGAACACACAAGGGTTGCTCCATAGAACCCTGTAAGGGAAAGGAACCACCCTAAAACAGGATATCAGGGCCAGAGCTCAGGGGACCAGCTGATTCTCCAGGAAACTAAACCTTTTAAACATCAAGAAGCAGAATCCACTGTAAGTGATGTTATCAGCATTTGAAATCACTTAAAAAACTTTAACATAACTTTAATTCTGGTTCTGATAGAAAGGTGTCTGAACACTCAGTTTGTTGTGTATGGGGCTGCGTAGTCGCAGACCTGTCAGGGTGCCCATGCTGACCCGTATCCACCTCCAAAAGTGACTACAATGGGCACCTGAGCATCAGACCTGGACCACCACAGAACAATGGAACAAGGTGGCCTGGTCTGATGAATCATGTTTTCTTTTTTTACCTGGGTAAGCGATGGCACCACGATGCACTATGGGAAGAAGGCAAGCTGGCAGATGCAGTGTGATTGGCCGAGGGACTGGTACGGTAATGACGGCTGCTAAGGATCTATGTGAGGGGAATAAGGTGCCTGCAGGGTGGGGGTCGTGCCACCATATTGTCAGATCTGTTTGGCCGGCCTCTATGCCAATTGGCTGGGAAGCCGACTTCCCGGCCAATCAGCATCCAGCCTGCCAAACAGAATGAAGTCGGCTTCCCGGGCAATCAATATATACACTGAGTGGCCCGATTATTATGACCACCCCACCAGTGCTTCGTTGGGCCGCCTTGTGACTCCACGAGATGATGAAAGGTGATGCGAGGAATCTGACACTGCACTGTTGCCCTTCTGTTGTCTTGTACCAGTCTTGCCACTCTCCGTTCTGCCCTAACATTGACCAGTCGCTGACGGCCACAATTCACAGGTTCAGACCCAGATTTTAGGCTGACAGTCCAGTCTTTAAACACTTTAACAACAGCTCCTCTTGAACATTTAATGAATTCTGCTGTTTTGCTGATACTCGCTCCATGGCTCCGAGCTCCAACAATCATCCCACGTTCAAAGGCTGTTAAATCGCGTTGTTTACCCGTATCTTCCGAAAAAATCACTTCTACTGTCGTGGTAAACAACCTGCTTCCCTATTTATAATGGTCTGGCCCTCTAGCAACTTCAGCGCCAAATAATAGCTAATTTGCCTACAAACGTCAGGTGGTCATAATAATCTGGCCACTCAGTGTATATAGATATATATGAGAAAATGACACAGAGAAGGACCCTCTGAATTAAATTGGTTATGGAAGGCTAAGAGGCTGATTTATAAACTCTTCCTCCCAGACTATTGCTGGACGAGTGCCATTCACACCGTCACTAGAAGACACTGAGCATAGGAACTTCCTACACTCCTTGGCTGCTTCTAGTGGAGGTATTGCGGTGTAAACAGCATTCACCCAGCTATTGGCTGGGAGTAAATGTGAAAAATCAGCCCATTAGTGTCGGTTGTCTGTGATTAATTTGCCTTCCTAAATCATTTTAAACATTTTGTAAGTACATATAAGGCTTTGATTTGGTATATTGTTATAATACACAGTGTTATTCATAAAAATGAATTCATAAACCAAGTATAAAATACTTTATTGTGTATTTCTTACAACTGTCACATCATAACGTGTCTGTTTAGCACTTTTCAATTGAAATGATAAAAATCTGCTATAGCTTTATGTTTTGTTCTGGAGTTGCTCTCTAAGCAGTACGAGTTCACTGTAATGCAAAAATAAAAAACACATTTCTAATTCTTGTTCCCTTTTATTAGTGAATATGTCTTCTCCTTCATCCCTTTTGAGGAGGCTTTTCACATTGAGCCTTGACTTATTATGCCATGGTAGGCATTGTAGTTCTACTGTGTGTGTGTGTGTACATTTGTATTATTTTATTTTTTTACTAGTGTTGTCCTGTATTTATTGTTACTGCTTGACTTGAAGAAGAGACCCAGGATGGCCCTGATACACTACATGTTAGATGTTTCTTCACTTTCATTGGATAACTTACCGATAGGCAGAAGGCTAAAGGGAACTGTTTCTGAGAGAAATACAAAGGCTGCCAATGCTGGCCTCCTTCTGAAAATCATATCTGCTGGATTGCCTCTGGCCTCAGTACTTTGCCAATTATAGTCTAGTGCAAACATGCAGCTTATGAAGTCAAATAAATCAGAACTACTGATCTGCATATCAGTTTAGTGTAGTACTGCCTTTGGGTCACAATAATAGCCAGGAAAATAGCATTTTCAAAAGGAGGGTTAAGCACTAGCAGCCTGTGGGGTTTTTTTCCAATACGCTTTTCATGTAAGGGTCAAGGATTGGGGTAGGGTAATGGTTTGTGAGTATTTTAATGTAACTGATAGGTTATTAGGGTCCGGGTTAGGGATTATTAGTGTTAGTGTGAAGGATAGGGTTTAAGTGTTAGGGTTCGATCAAAAGTTTCGGGTTAATTTTAATGGCAGGATGACTGTTAAGGCGAGGCTGATAGCACACACCTTGCACGAGAATGCAAAGCCTGCTTATTTCATGCACCCTCAAAAGTTCTGAATAAAACACACTGATTACAACAGCAATAAAAAAACTATTAAAAAAAAACATCTTACTTCAGACGCGACTTCTGGCCGCTTCCTGTAGTGACATCACTGGGCCTCATTGCTGCCTCCTGAGAACGCTGGGTACTAGAAATCATTGCAGAACTGTACAAAGGCTTTGGGGTACCCAGCTTTCCCAGGGGGCCGTGGTGAGGCACTGCAACATCACTGGCACCTACAGAAGCATCCAGAAGCAAGGGTCAGAGATATTTCTCTTTTGTCCAATGAGGGACACAGCTCTGAATAATCTGATACATAGGGTTATGTTTCCTAGAGGCAGCGGGTAACCCTAATGGTGACACAGGCAGCAATAAAAACCAGACAGGGTCCTAATCCCTATCCAAAACTAAGAAAAAACGTTTGGCTTCAGTTGCACTTGAACTTCCTGTTGTTTTTGTTGATCAAACCTCGTGCTGGCTGCTCCAGGGTGCCACAATCTGGTGAAGTATTGAAGTGGGCCTGTACTGCTATGTGACTCTCCAGAGAGTGAGAGGCCCAAAATAGTTCATTATAGTCCACAGACGCTAATCAGTGTATCTGTTAGATGCCATAACTGCCAATCCTGTCCCGGATAACAGCGTCACTGTCTTGGGGGGTATTTACCATTGCCCCAATCTGCCAGTCCCCCATTTACATTCAGCAGCAAGTTCAGATTGGGGGGATATAGAGACCTGTCAGCATTCCATATCCAGCTTGTAAACATGAAGTAGTAAAGTGCGACTGCACAGAGTTCTGAGGCATTTCTGTTCACAGAGCTCCTCAGTGCATCGTGGGAGTTCTCATATGGTGTTCAAAGGCAGCGATCCGTTATAAATTGTATTGTAGTGCCTCTTCTTCTTTCCATAGTGTATCACTGACAGGACTACCACCAGCAGCACCAACAAGGCCAAACCGATGGACAGGAGAGAGACTAGAGCTGCATGTGCCTGCCCCACCGTCAGGACGTTTCCTAGGAACGGCACTCCGCCGGGGCGGACAGAATCTGTAACACAAAACAATATATGGATAATTTAGAAATCATCCACCCCCAACATACGCTGGTCAAATGCCATTCATACACCACAACATACGCTTGTTGAATGCCATTTACACACCCCAACATACGCTTGTTGAATGCCATTTACACACCCCAACATACGCTTGTTGAATGCCATTTACACACCCCAACATACGCTTGTTGAATGCCATTTACACACCCCAACATACGCTTGTTGAATGCCATTTACACACCCCAACATACGCTTGTTGAATGCCATTTACACACCCCAACATACGCTTGTTGAATGCCATTTACACACCCCAACATACGCTTGTTGAATGCCATTTACACACCCCAACATACGCTTGTTGAATGCCATTTACACACCCCAACATACGCTTGTTGAATGCCATTTACACACCCCAACATACGCTTGTTGAATGCCATTTACACACCCCAACATACGCTTGTTGAATGCCATTTACACACCCCAACATACGCTTGTTGAATGCCATTTACACACCCCAACATACGCTTGTTGAATGCCATTTACACACCCCAACATACGCTTGTTGAATGCCATTTACACACCCCAACATACGCTTGTTGAATGCCATTTACACACCCCAACATACGCTTGTTGAATGCCATTTACACACCCCAACATACGCTTGTTGAATGCCATTTACACACCCCAACATACGCTTGTTGAATGCCATTTACACACCCCAACATACGCTTGTTGAATGCCATTTACACACCCCAACATACGCTTGTTGAATGCCATTTACACACCCCAACATACGCTTGTTGAATGCCATTTACACACCCCAACATACGCTTGTTGAATGCCATTTACACACCCCAACATACGCTTGTTGAATGCCATTTACACACCCCAACATACGCTTGTTGAATGCCATTTACACACCCCAACATACGCTTGTTGAATGCCATTTACACACCCCAACATACGCTTGTTGAATGCCATTTACACACCCCAACATACGCTTGTTGAATGCCATTTACACACCCCAACATACGCTTGTTGAATGCCATTTACACACCCCAACATACGCTTGTTGAATGCCATTTACACACCCCAACATACGCTTGTTGAATGCCATTTACACACCCCAACATACGCTTGTTGAATGCCATTTACACACCCCAACATACGCTTGTTGAATGCCATTTACACACCCCAACATACGCTTGTTGAATGCCATTTACACACCCCAACATACGCTTGTTGAATGCCATTTACACACCCCAACATACGCTTGTTGAATGCCATTTACACACCCCAACATACGCTTGTTGAATGCCATTTACACACCCCAACATATGCTGGTTGAATGCCATTCACACAACATTCTCATCAGTGGCGGACCTAAGGAACAAAGGGCCCTGGTGCAAGATTTCTTTTGCCCCCCCCCCCCAAAAAAAAAACTCCCCAATCCACACCCCCTGAAGCAACCACAAAAAAACTAAGTTGAAAAAAATAGAAAAAATGAAATAATTATTTATTACAGAGACAGGACAGAGTATGTTTACTATAACTACAATTATGAATGGACAGGAGTGGATATAGATCACTTCCCATTCATTCATAATTGAGGATATAGTACACATACCAGGTCCTCAATTATCTACAAACACTCAGCGATCACTGATCACTGAGTGTTTGTACCGCTCTCCTCTCTGACACGCTGTCACAGGAGGCTGAGCGAGCGGAGCAGGGAGGAGAGCTCAGCCTCCTGTGACAGTGCGGGCTGTCTCCGCCCACACAACGCTCTTCCAGTGTTCTATCACAGATTGTGACTGTGTACGAATGTGTGACTAGTCACATGGTCACACATTCTAACATAGTCGCACCATTTTTTTTCCGGGGTAAAAATGTGTGACCGGCAAAAGGTGGAATTCAAAGCTTTCTCCGCTGTTCCTGGGCTGATCGGCATTGCAGATGGTATGTTTAGTAGAACCGATCTGCACGGGAACAACTGATTGATCCTGAAATCTCACTTCTATATAACTTTGCGAGTGCAATACAAAGTCAGATAGAAGTAAGATTTCAGGACCGATCAGCTGTTCCGGGGCAGATCGGTTCTCCTGCACATATCATCTGTGATGCCGATCTGCCCAGGAACAGTGGAGAAAGCTTTGAATTCTACACGTTTTGCCGGTCACACAATGTTACCCCGGAAAAAAATGGGGTGTGGCTACTTTAGAATGTGTGACCATGTGACTGGTCACACATTCTACCGCCGAAAAAATGGGCGTGATTAAATTAGAAAGTGTGATGACGTCAGCGGTCACACATTCTAACGCAGTCACAATCTGCGATAGAACACCGGACTGTGATAGGAGGCTGAGCGGTGTGGGATGAGAGACGCTGGCTGCTCACAGCGCTCTCCTCCCACAGCGCTCGGCCGTCTGTGACACTTTCTCTCGGACACAGAGCAGCGCCCAGTGGGGAGGAAAGAAAGCACGGATGTGCCGCTGTATCGGCCAAAAAATGGCACTTTCGGCATTTAACCAAAAGTGCCATTTTCGCCCGATATGTTTCAACGGCCGATATATCGGTACATTACTAATATTACAGCAATGCAGAATGGCACAGGCTATAGAGGACTACACATCCCAGCAATACTTTATACAACTATAGCGTTTCTGTATAAAGTACTGCTGAGATTTGTAGTCCTCTAGAGGATCCCATTCTGCATTGCTGCAATGCAGAATGGCACTACAAAAACCAGCTACAAATAATAATTGTTTTAATTAATTATTTACACTTACCTCTCTTCTGGCTGGTCTTCTGCTGTTTCCTGGTGGGGGATTCAGAAAAAACAGGTGTCTGTATCCTGCTTGCTGTGGAGTGTGTCCTCAGTCCTCACAGCCGTCCGCTCCGATCGATGTGTGCCAGTGCCTGGCTGCCCGCTCGGTCTTCAATTTTTCACTGCTGTCCTTGGCTCGCGCCTCGCGTCTTACTTCTTGCAGGGGTCGGCGGGCCCCATAATATCTGGGTACCCTAACCCGGAAGCGGCCGTGCGCCTAGCCCCCGCCCCCTCACCTCAATTCCGCGTATTGGACTCACTATCATTATCATGCTGCGCTGTGGCCGACGGTCCCCCCCCATCTCTGCGCCGCGAGTGTCAGATCATGAACGGATCATCCGACACTCCCAGCGCAGAGACGGGGTGCCTGCCGGCCGCTGGATGCCATCTGCACAGGCGAGGCTAAGGCCCTGGTGCGCCCGCACCGGCGGTAGTTCCGCCACTGACTCTCATCACTAGATGCATACAAGAAGCATAGAAATTCCTATGCTCCTCAGCTACATCTAGTGACGGGAATGCTGTGTGAATTGCATTCAACCAGCATATGTGCGAGGGGATGATTTCAAATCAATCCCCTAAAAGTAATTTAGGAAGAAGCTGATGACACTATATGAAGACTATATAACGTTTCACCATTACTCACCTGAGGCACGGGTATTTTCCTCTGAAAAAAAGAAAGAAAAGCTATAATCAATTGATGCCAATGGATTCTTCTAACTCCATTTCCTTAATCCCACTAATAACATTATTGAAAGGCATATTTCATTTTAGAAAAAATTTAATACATATCGCACAAAAGGATAAATGTGCATTTAATAATATTTTGTATTGAAAGTCATTGCAATCGCGATTAGTGGATTGCGGGTGCGATGCACAGGCTCCTGCACACTGTTCTTCCAGCCCCAGGTATGGGCCATTCGTTATGGAGCTGGAGGAAGTTATAAAATAGATTGACGTCACCACATTTGTATTTTATTAAAAACTACAAGTCCCTCTGCCACAGTATTCTTTTTATTCACTGATTCTATGAATAAATCTGAATAAATGATGCGGATGTGCGTGTGCCACCCATCCCGAGCTGTGCCAAATTCAAATGTATACTGGAGCCTACAGGGAGAAGAACTCCACAATTTAGGTAGCAGGGGTGATTGTTTGAGGGTTCGGAATGGCACCATGATCCATATTACCCCTCCCCCTATCCCCTTATTCAGGATATATTGCTTCTTTAGTCAGAGAGGACGTAGTAGACCACATTAATATCTCATTCCTTGGTCCTGTGGCAGCTGACGCTCTGGTCTTCCTTGATCCTGCCCCAGAATGTGGGCAAGCCCTTGGTATCATCACTGGTAATCACTGGTCCTGCATTGTACATGATGATGTCAATATGATGGGAGAAAACACGATGACCGGAGAATAAATTCAGCTTTTTTGGACCGGGTGCCACTTCCGGAACCAGCTTGTGGGACTGTGGAGTAAGGGGGCTTTGACAGGTCAAGTGGCCATGCTTTTTCTGCCCAGTTTTTTTCCCCACATTAATTTCAATGGGGCTTTACTTGCTGTGGAGTAGAGATGAGGCTGGGCTTGATGCAAACCCAGTTCGCGTGAGTTTGGCCAAGCCCACCAAAAGTCTAACCACCACCACCTTCTCCCAACCTAATCAGTGTTATCAGTTGTGGCAGGGGCATTCCCCACCCCATTGTGACATATAGTTGCAGGATGGGGAATGTGCCTCCACCCAAGTGATTGGTTTGGGGGGAGGGGTGGCAGTCAGAGTTTTGAGCAGGTTCAGTGACCTGGGTTCACACCAAGCCAAGACTCTACTTAGGAGTCCTGTAGAAAGCAAAGCAAAAGGCAACAGTATGACCACAGTAACACTGCTGCTTTTTAAATGGACCCCTATTTGAAAGGTATGTTATAAGGGAAAAAAGAAAATCTGATATGATAAAGTAGATCTTCCATGATAACAGGAAGTCTGCTTTAATCATAGCCCTCACCTTCCAAATCCTCTCAAATGTAAAGTTTGCAAAAAAATGCTTCCAGGAAGCACGGGTGACATCACAGTTTCTTCCCGAGGGAGCCAGATGCTCAAAATCCTGCAATATGCTACATGCTACACCCCATTGCAGAAGCTTTACTGCCAATCACATATGCCATCATTTGCTTTGCCCATTGTTCTGTATTAAACTTACCAGGCCTCTCCATGACAGTGAAGGTTGTCTCCATGCCAGCGTGGATGTGATCATTGACATGACAGTGGAGAAGCCAGGTCCCCGGGTTACCGGCCGCCAGCTCTATAGTCTGAAATGTCCCAGGAAAGAGATCAAACACATCCGCTCGGTGATCGCTGTCTCTCTAAAACCAAAAGAAAAAAAATGCTTTTGAGACACCAAAGTCCGAGCTCTTCCTCTTCTATACAGGGACAACAATAAGGCCTCATGAACTCGGGGCCTAAAATGTGGGCTTATTCCCCCACCTGGGAAGCCACAGATGCTGCATACAGCCACCGATAGACATCAAGAGCTGTACGCAACTGTATGGCGAGCATACACCAGCACTTTGGTAAATTCATGTGGGCCCCAAACGCAGGTAGTCAATGCTACACAACGAAAATGTGGAAAGGGTGAGCCTGTGCTTTACAGGTAAAGTCCACTTTTCGGGGACAAAAATAATTACAATTTGCATTGGATCCAGTAAGGCATTGCAACCGCGATCAGAAGATGGGTGCAATGTGCTGACTCCTCCCATCCTAGTCTGTGCCAAGGTATGGGCATTCAGTAACAGGGACATTAGGAAGTAGCAGCCTGTGGAGAGAAGAACCCTGCAATTCAGGTAAGTGGAAAGGGGCCCTTTCAGGCCAGAGCATCGCAGACTTCTAAGAGCCGGGCAGGAAGATGTGGAAGGGCCATACACATTTCCCTTCCCAACTCTTAGCAACCTGGGACACTCTGGCTGTCATCCTAACCAGCTCCTCGTCAACCCAACTCCAAACACCCCCCCTCCAGGCAGTGATTATATTAAGGGCACCCCTGTCTAAATATATATTTTTGTTCAGTTTTGAATAGCATGGGTAAGAGTTAAAACTTTTGTTAGGTTTTTTTGTTGTTGTCTATGTCCCACTGGGGCAATTTATTTTCACTTACTTTTATATAGATACAAGAAGCAAGAGGACATTTTTGAAAGGTGAAGGATACTCTCTCAAACAGTTGGCAGCACAACGAGTGTCCCCATTGGACCTCTTCCCTGATGAAATCCACCATATCGTATGCAAAAACTATTCAACCTTCTACCCCAGGGTCCTCTGCGAGCCTCTGAACAGGGGGGTGCTCAGTTTGCAAATGGCAGCTTTGAAGGATAAAGCTTCTCCCAACATCTCTTAATCTCCCAAACCTTCACTGAATGAAGGAGTATGTGTTGGGGGAGCGGATATGTGAATAGTAAATGTCTGGGTTCACAGGCCAACTGTCTGGGCTGGGGTTTGATACTGATTACCTGATCAGGGCTCCCTTGTTCATAAATACCTTTAGTTTGCAGTGACATAAGTGCTTGGACTACCTCATCCCAAAATCTGTCCCATGGACCACTGCACAATCTAAAGCTGAAGTTTAATCTGCTAATATTTCATTTTCCCTGGTTCCTCCCCAACCACTTCATCAACATGCTAATTACATTTTTAAATAAAACCTGTTTTCATGAAATACCTTATTTTTGGTCTCTTACAAATCTTATTTTAGTCCCGGTACATTTTCACTAAGTCTCTGTACTTCTGCATGCAATGCAGGCAGATCATGGCTGGTAGGAGGCCTTGTACATAGCTTCCTGGAAACATAACATTACCCTGCGTCAGCACTCCTCTCGAGAGCCCTCAGTCCTGATGCAAGCACTGGGCTGGCTCCTGCGAGGAGTTTTGTAAATATCAAAATGCATTGATAAGTGTTCCTAGGAAGACTGCATTTGCATGCAGGCTGCCCTAGGTACAGCCCACATGTGACGCTGAGCCTCCATGATTAAAAGAACTGGAATCCAATGGATGAAAGGGGTGGGCCCAGGAAAGTCATGCTGGGGAGGAAAGTGCTAAATGATGCTAGATATCCTCCAGACAGGAAATGAGGCGGGCTCTGCCTGAGTTGCTGCAGCTTCTAATGATCATTGTGAGAAACTCACGGGATGCAGTAAAATCAGAGTAAGTAATGTAGTACAGGAAAGGAGCCGGTACAACTGTACAAGACTTAAGGTAAGGCTGGAATTCAGCTTTCATTATTTTTTTATATTTAGGTGTTAAATCCTCTCCCAGTGTTCAACATAATGTGGCTTTTGGTGAAGGTTTTGCCAATATGAATCTGTTTCGTGATCCAAGTTTACTCATGGCACTGAATGTTCTCATGAAATGTGGATACAGCTCATGCAATGTACTCTGCTGTCCCTACTGTATATCTGCATAGGGGAGCCACTTTGATTGTTGCCCAGTGATCCAATTCCTCTAGAAGTCGACCTGTGTGTTTGGTGGATCATGGTACAGATGGTGGGTTTCATAGTATATGTTACTGCTGCACACGTAGGAATGAACAGTGGGTCTGACAGAAACTCACCTTGTACAGGAAGCTCTGAGCATGGAAATGGACAGTGTGCATGTCAACTTCATTCCCCAGTCCCATCAGGTACCAGTTGGTCTTTTCACCTTCGGTCATGGTAAGGCCATGCAGATTTCCATAGATCTTACCGTTTATTGCTGGAATACAAGAAATAACTTCAATGGTGTTCAACAACCAAAGGAAAAATCAATTCATCCATCAATCATCCTATCCATCAATCCTCCCATCAATCAATCCTCCCATCCATCAATCAACCGACCCATCCATCTCCAGTGTGATGCCATTTTTTCTCTGCATATATCTGTAAGTTGGACAAACCTCCAAAAATCCCCTCAAGAAGCGGGTGCCGCGGCAGTCAACGGGTGGCTGCCGTAACAATCATAAGCGAAGACAGAGACACCGGCCCTCCAAAATGATAAGCAAACGTCTATCTACTGACGTGCAGCATAGCGGGCACAGCAACGAACGCTTCGGGGTCGCACAGGATCCCCTTCCTCAGGTAAAGCTGTTCTGATGTATTCTAGATTTTTGTCATCGGTATAGGCCACAAATGGATGGTGAGTCCCTTCCACCCAATGACGCCATTCCTCCAATGCCCACTTAATGGCTAAGAGCTTACAGTTTCCAATATCATAGTTAGGTTCAGCACTAGAACATTTTCGGGAAAAATAAGCACATGGATGCAACAGATTAGTGGGAGAGTATTGGCAGAGAACTGCACCCACCCCAACATCAGAAGAGTCTACCTCCACCACAAATGGCAAGGCAGGATTAGGATGCGTCAAACACAGGAGCAGAAACAAAAACAGACAGAAGGTTTTGAAAGGCAGGGATGGCCTCCTGGCACCATAAAGCAGGACTTGCCAGCTTCTTGGTTAGGGCAGTGATAGGTGCAACAATAGTGGAAAAGCCATTAATACATTTCCTATAGAAATGAGCAAATCCCAAAAAACTTTGCATAGCCTTCAGATCCTTAGGCTGGGTCCACTAGATGATAGCCTGTACTTGGCGGGATCCATAGCGATTTCAGTATCAGAAATAATGTAGCCCAAGAAGGAGACTCTAGCTACGTGGAAGATGCATTTGGAGGGTGTGGCATACAAGGACTACTGACGGAGCTTGGATAAGACCATACGGACATGGTTATAATGTTCAGCAAGAGAGGGGAAAAAAAGATCAGAATATCGTCCAGGTAGACCAAGACAAACTGACCTAGAAACTCACGAAAAACGTCATTGACAAACTTCTGGAAGATAGCAGGTGCATTACGTAAACCAAAGGGCATGACTAGGTACTCATAGTGTCCCTCCAGAGTGTTGAAGGCCGTCTTCCATTCATCACCCCCTCTGATGCGTATCAACAAAAAAGAATCCTGCCCCAGCAGGGGAAGTGGAAGGACGTTTGAAGCCCTTTTCCAGATTTTCATGTATGTAAGATTTCATTGCCTGGGTCTCAGGCTGAAGATCAATAGAGCAATCATGGGGGCGGTGAGGAGGAAGTCTCGAGGCAGCTTTTTCAAAAAGACATCACTAAAATCTGAGTAACATGGTGGCAGTACTGAAACAGACAGGTTGGCCATGACTCTAGTGTAAAAACAGAAAAAAGACAACGAAAGAAGCGCTGCGACCGAAATAAAAAAATGAATATTAGAATGAATGATTAAATGAATACCGTATATACTCGAGTATAAGCCGTCCCGAATATAAGCCGAGGTACCTAATTTTAGCAAAAAAAACTGGGAAAAAGTATTGACCCGAATATAAGCCGAGGGTGGGAAATGAGGAAGCTACTGGTAGATAGATACCAATAAAATTACATTAATATTTATTTAAAAGAAAAATAACCTAGCTCTGTAAGTGGAAAAGGGGGTACAGGGCTACATATCATGTACTACGGATCATTTAACCCATTCATATTAGCAGAGGATAATTGTAAATCTATTGTTCAGTGCACTCTATATGTAGTATATAGTACATGTACATATAGAGTGCCTGCAACAATACATTTACAATGATCCTCTGCTAACATGAATGGGTTAAATGATCCATAGTACAGGGCTACATACAGATCATTTAATACATTCATGTTAGTATAATTGTAAATGTATTGTCTGCACTGTATTAGCAGTATATACTCTATATAGAGTATATACTGCTAATACAGTGCAGACAATACATTTACAATTATACTAACATGAATGTATTAAATGATCTGTATGTAGCCCTGTACTATGGATCATTTAACCCATTCATGTTAGCAGAGGATCATTGTAAATGTATTGTTGCAGGCACTCTATATGTACATGTACTATATACTACATATAGAGTGCACTGAACAATAGATTTACAATTATCCTCTGCTAATATGAATGGGTTAAATGATCCGTAGTACATGATATGTAGCCCTGTACCCCCTTTTCCACTTACAGAGCTAGGTTATTTTTCTTTTAAATAAATATTAATGTAATTTTATTGGTATCTATCTACCAGTAGCTTCCTCATTTCCCACCCTCGGCTTATATTCGGGTCAATACTTTTTCCCAGTTTTTTTTGCTAAAATTAGGTACCTCGGCTTATATTCGGGACGGCTTATACTCGAGTATATACGGTAATTAGATGATAGCTGTGGCTGGATGGGAGAAAATAACAAACAACTATCAGCCCCTCAACCTCCAGCACTTTGTCAGCTCCACGGACATCAAGTGTACTCCTTCCTAATCAACTTCTGTCAACAGGCCATCAGTTTCATACATTTCACTGAGGCACCAGTCCATTTCCCCATCAGCACTGGAACGGACTGACAACACCCCTCGCCGATGACATCACGCCACTCTCTACCTCAATGTGAGTCTCTACATGATCATAATTGGTCTTACGCATTGCTCAAGTTTCATCCACCCATTTCGTGTATTTTCTCAGTTCACTCGGACCACCCCACAACATCCCGGAAGGCACTACTGTACACCACGACTAATCCCTTAACCGTCCCCTCCACCCCAATTATTTTCTCCCATCCATCCACAGCTATCATCTAATTATTCATTTAAGCATTCATTCTAATATTCATTTTTTTGATTCGGTCGCAGCGCTTCTTTCGTTGTCTTTTTTCTGTTTTTACACTTTAGTCGGACACCCCGGTCCGCAAGATAAAGAAGCTGCTCACCTAACAAGCATTTCTGAGACTAATCTGTCCCCCATACAACCCGTTCCTGCTTCCTGCTTTTTTAGGGCATTTAGAAGCAAAGTGCCCCCGAGTACCACAATATAGGCAGAGGCCCATTGTCCTTCGACTGGTTTTCTCCTCAACTGATAGACAAGTGGCTCCAATTTGCATGGGTTCAATCTCAGAGGCAGCAGAGGGTACAAGAACCTCCTGAGAAGGCGATTATGAGAAATAACTAGGAAGCATGGATGTAGACTTCTCAGAATGCCTTTCTCATAAACGCCTATCAATCCTAATAGCCAGGTGCATGGCTTCTTCCAATGTCTTAGGCTCAGGATAATGCACCAGAGAGTTTTTTATGGAATCTGCTAAGCCCAATCTAAACCGACTCCTCAAGGCTGGGTCATTCCATGCAGAATTAGGAGCCCAACGGGGGAATTCAGAGCAGTACTGTTCTGCCATGCGTTTCCCTTGACGAAGGGCTTTGAGATTGGTCTCTGCTGTGTGGGTGCGGTCAGGATCATCATACAAGAGACCATGGGCAGAAAAGAAAGCAAAACAGAGAACAGAGCTGGGTCATCAGCAGACAAGCTAAAGGCCCAGGACTGGGGATCCCCCTGTAACAAAGAAATAATAATGCGAACGCGCTGAGCCTCTGAACCAGAAGAACGTGGCCTAAGTTGAAAATATAATTTGCAACTATTGACAAAATTGGAAAAAGAGTGACGGTCCCCAGACAAACGATTGGGTAGATGGCCCTTGGGTTCAGGTTCCTGCAGGTCAGAAGAAACCCTGGATTGCTGAGAGATGTGCAAGGACAGATCCTGAACTTGACGCGTCAGCTTACATAATTCTTCTGCAAACATACGTGCTTGCGGGGCACCCATCATAGACCAGTAGTAGTACCGGTCTCTTCTTTTTATAGGCTTGTGATAATGTCAGGACCAGCTGTGGACGCACGCTGTCAGAACAAATAGTGACGAGTTGTTTCACCTATAGCAGCCGCCGTTTCCATAAGGCAAGCACGCGTACCGGTACTTGGATGCCCCCAGGACTTGAACTATATGTTCTGATCAGGTGAAGCCACAGGCTGGCCAGAGGTACTAAACCGAGATACAGACCAAAGCAGAAAGACACTACCAGAGAGTAATCAGGGACGAGCTGGAGTCAAAGGCTGGCAAGGGCAATCCGGGCACAAGCTGAGGTCAGGGCTGGCAGAAAGCAAAGCGTAATCCAGGGACAGGCCAAGGTCAGAACCGAAGACCAACAAGATTTCCAGACACAGGATTTGCAAGGACCGCACACAGCTTGTATAGCAAGAACTATCACAAGCACTGGGGAACAAGCTGATGATGCTTAAATAGGGCGCCACCAGCAGCAAGGCCAATCCCAGAGCAGGAGGTGTGTGGTGGATTAATTAAGCCACAACTAACTAGACTAGTGCTGCAGCCAGCAAGATACAGGCTGATTAACCTTCGCCAGCCAGGGCAGCAGCCAGCAATGCAGGCTGCCTGACACATACATACAGTATGGTTGGTGCTCAGCCCCCGACTATATATATGCTGCCATGAAGGCACCTGGAAAACATGAAAATGGTATCCTCACTAGTCCATACTTCTCCATTTTCCTGATGTCTATCCATGGCAACATATACTGTATATAGGGTGGAGCACCAACCATATTTATGCTGCCATGAAGGCACCATGAGCATTTAGCGGGAAGTAGAAGAAAATTTTAACTGGCATGATTCCTACACAAATGTGAACCCTCCTATCTGCAAATGTTTTTGATTGCCAGGAAAAAATTAAAAGGTGTAATATGTGTTAAAAGGGCTCCTAATCTTTTATCTAATAAACAAGCATAAAACTGCGGAGTCATAACCTACCATGCATTTTATTACTCTCTTCAAATTCCTCTGTGATATTGACATCACTGGGGTCTTTATGAATATAGCTTTCAATGTTGTCATCTAGGTACCAGGAAAAGTTCTCATCAAACACTAAGAAGAGAAGAGCGAATTCCCGAGCAACATCCCTCCTCCGGCCTTTGCTGTCTAATACTCCCTTCCTGCAAGTTACCAATGGTCCCACCAGGCCACTGTACAGATCCTGCATGGAGAAGACACAAACATTCAAAGTGTCAATGGAATTATCTTGTATAAACATATCAGATGAAATAATTCATTCAAAGGAAATTGTCATATTTAAAGCCCATCTCTAGGCAAACAAAAAACTCCCTGTGCAGTGGGGCTATTCCCACACTGCAAGGGTTAAGTGCTTGTTTTTACTTAGGGGCAGGAGTAAATCAGATTGACTTACGTAATCCCCATACGGGCAGTACGCTCACCCGAGCTGCACATCTGTGCGGGTGTCCGTACTTGTACGCTGCCAGGATGGATCCTGTCTGTATCTAAGCACAGACACCCGGACCCGCACGGATGTGCAGCTCGGGTGAGCGTACGGCCGCGTACTCCCATACGTATGAACCGGCTACTGCGTATAATCACACGCAGCACCCACTGGCGGAACTACCAGGGTCGCAACGGTCGCGATCGCGACTGGGCCCTGGTGTTCCGACTGTTGGGGGGGGGCCCAGACAGGAAGGATCGGGCCCGCACACAATCATCCTGATTGTGTACGGCCTGGCCCGCTATGCCCGATACATAGCCTCGGGCACTAGTCTGCCCGACGCTATGCATCAGCCTGCTCTGACGGACCAGTGAGTGGGCGGGGTCATCGGCGCCAGTGCCGAAGCTGGGGGGGAGGGGAGCATGTGCAGCAGCCCCACAGCGACAGCATCAGGATGGGTGGCGGGGGGATTTACCTGCTCGCCGGTGTTCCTTCTAAGTCCCGACAGAACCCCGGCTCCCTCCCTCTCTCCTCCCGCCGCTCTGCAGGCACTGCCAGGACCAGCTTTGCACCTGAGGGCCCCCGGGAACGAGGGGGAGGAGTCTAGGAGCAGTGTCAGGCAGAGGGGGAAAGGGAGGACCAGCAGCCCTAACCCTGCAATCTGTCACCCGAGACCCTGCAGAGCCCTGGTGAGACCGCCTGTATGCCTGGTGAGCCCTCCCGCAGCCCTGGTGAGACCTCCCGCAGCCCTGGTGAGACCTCCCGCAACCCTGGTGAGACCTCCCGCAGCCCTGGTGAGACCGCCTGTATCCCTGGTTAGACCGCTCACACCCACATATTAACCACTATGGGAAAGAGTGCTGAGTGTCTGCCTGCTGGGAGCTGCTTTAAAGTGTTATTAAACCCTACTATCTACGGCTACCAAGCAGTAGATATATGCAAGAACTTTAAACCGATTCGGCCATGCAAGCTGCACGGATCTGTACGGGCCGGCTCTTAGCAGTGTGAATGAGGGCTAAGGAGGCATACATACTGCTTTGGTTTCTGAACAGTTGTTTATACATCAATGTATTAGAATTGTAAAACTCAAATAAATGATACCGCAGAAAAAATCCAATTTCACGGCTCCGCTTTCAGTGCAGTCATTGCATGTGATCACATCTACTGAACGGTAAATACACACCATATGGTCTGTAAACACATCCAAGACACAGACAAATGTCATTATGCGGCATCTTACAAATGTAGTGTGGGAGATGAAAACACATCTAAGGAGCCAAACTGCCTTTAATGACAAACACATGTAGCTAAACTGCATGGGAAACCAATTAAAATGTATGTAAATGTGTTGTAGGTTGAATTGCTTGTGGTGATTTAAAGCAGAACTCCAGGCAAAGAGATAAATACACAGATAAAATACATATATGGGAGCTGCTTACCTACTATCAGAGTTGTATTTCTGTCCATCCAGTTCACAGCTTTGCCACACAGCACAGCTCTATGTGGCAGGACAGGAGAACTTATTTTTCTATGCTATAGGTCTTTTACCTCCCTCAGACGTTTATCAAGCCAGGTGGTGCTGGCAGGGCCACTCCTGGCTTGAATTTTGACCCATTGCTGCTCCTGAAATCTGAGCTGTGTGTGGCCAGCTTAAAGGGATTCTAAAGCCTCCGTTGTTTTGCCCTTATCTCCTGCTATCAAGCAGGAGATATAGGCAAAAAGTAAAAAAAAACAAAAAAAAACCTGCTTTAACAGCAGTCTAAACTGACCCCGTCCGAGAAAACGAAACCGCAAAGCATCTTGGGGTGGGCGCATGCGCAGTTCGGATTCTCGGCCGGGAGACGAGCAGAGACGCAAGGTAAGTCTATGGGCGCGTGCACCCGCATGCAGACACCGTGGGATCAGAAGTGCCTGCAAGCAGAGAGGAGTCAGCGCTGGATCAGAGAGCCATCGCAGCGCTGGAGGAACAGATGAAAACACGGGGAAAGAAGAAGAAGATCGGATTAAGAGACATCATTTAAGTTAAGTGCTAACATTAACATTGGGGGGAGGGGAAAAAAATTATCCTTTAATGTCACTTTAAGGGCTCATTCACAGCATTGTGCGGGATCTGTGCATTTGGTACACAATATTGCACAGAACACCTGACCCTCATCCCCACCTGGCTGGTGGACAGGTCCCTGCAGCCTCTTCTCCCCCAGGCACCAGCAAAATAAGGACCAGTGATGTCATCATGTCTAATGCAGCTGCAGGACACTGAGGGACATTTCACCGGCAAAGCCAAGGGGAAGAGAGGTGAGTGATCACCACCATGTGACCGAGGATCAGGTGAGTGTAATATCTTTATCTGAGCCCCTAGACCAGAACGAGCACTTAACCCTTGCAGTGCTGGGTTAGCCCCATTACAGGGGTTCATTTATCGATTGCCTGGAGTTCTCTTTAAGGTATATTCATATTATTATCGTTTTATGAGGTTGGCTGTCATGAATTGTTAGGTCATGCAACATCTACAAGTAATCAGAGTTCTTCCGTACATTACCTTCATAAAGTCTGCCATGGAATAATAGGCCCATGTTAAACAATCGGGGTCATTCGTTCCTGGTCCTGAGTGTTCTGGAACATTCCACTGGTAAGTGTTTGTCCCCCCTGAAAATGCAGGTACGTAAAATAAGTACAATGACATCTCAAAACAAAAGATGAACTCCAGATCAAAAAGATCACACAGTTGAAATGCATATGCAAGAACAGGTTTACCTGCCAGAGGCTTTAACTCTGTTCAGCCAATCTTGTGATCCAAGCAGCCTTACCAGACAGAAAGGTCAGGCTGGTTTCTAAACCTTTCTCTACTGCAGTTATACAGTAAAGCTGGCCATGCACTATATGAAACGCGCACAGTCGGTGCCGCTGTTGGCACCCTTTCGGCCAGCAATCCTCAATCAGCTGACCGAAAGAGCCGCTTGGAAAATCTTCGAACGTACAAAGCTGGCAGACAACCAGTCTGTTTGGGTATTCTGACAGCGGCTGCCGACAGACAGCGGGGGTTTCCAGCTCGTAACGCTCGTAAACATTGATGGAGGAATCTGTTCTATTTTTTTCGTTCAGCTTGCGGGCAGCAGATTCCTCCATCCACGATGTTTAGGGAAATCAGTTGGTTTTCTCACATTTAGCCCGTTGGCTGAATGAAAAATAACGAGTTCTGTACGGCTAGCCTGAGATCCGATGTTGATTGGTGTTGGTGCTTACAGCACTTCCTGATATGTAAGTGTGCCTAGGCCCTCTTACATAGTTACATAGTGCTATATATCCGCAGTGTGAGGTCATCTAAGGCACTGGTGGTCTCAACACATATGGATTATGATCTGGTGATGTCCCTACTGTACTGCTTTTTGTTCTCCTTACCGGAGTGAAAGCTGTGTCTGAGAACCTGCAGTGTAAGGATCTCCCTGCTTCTGCTTCATTCCTATACAAATCTAAAGCCTAACTGTATCTAATATCACATTGAAATTCATTCAGCAGTATTAGTAGCAGGTCCCCAGTGTTTTAAATGCAAATTTGAACATGATCTGACTGGGTAACAGCAGGGGCATCCCGGGGCAGGGTGTCACCCGGAACGGGTACCGGGTGACACCCCGCCGTGACGTCACTGCACCTGCGCATGATGTCATCACGCATGTGTAACGCCATCACTCATGTGCGTGATGACGTAACGCGCTGTTACCTGCCAGCAGTCATCTTGGTGATGGACGCCGGCAGAGAGAGGAGGGGACATTTACCCCGTGGGCTAAGGTATGCCACTTGGTCCACTCCTCTCTCGCGCAACTGTCGGGCTCTCGGTCCATGACCGAGTGCCCGACTTCTCAGAGGGTGTGACACCAAAATGACTGACAGTCATTTTGGTGTCATCCTTCCAATGGTGTCACCCGGATGTGGGTCGAACCCCCCTAGTGATGCCACTGGGTAACAGAAAGGATTCACTATTTTACTCACCTGGCTGAGTAGCTTCAACGGCAATATTGACTATCTGCACACCATGTGCGTAAATGGAATATGGGCGCGTGGCTTTATTTTTAAACACAACCAATATACTGTCTCCAACCTCTGCTCGAATGAACGGACCTAAATGATACACAGGAAATACATAACGGTCAGTTTTCAGGAGGTTACTGTTTATAAAACGATGATCTTAAAATCACTACATACAATCAGATCTACTACACGTTATCTTTGGGGCAGTTCAGAGGAATTCCTTATTGCATATATAACATTTCCGCCTACTTTCCTTGCCATAAAGCTGGCCCTACATGTACATACACACATACATGCCATATAGGGGGTGAAAAGCAGAAGTCACTCAACTCCCCCCTCCCCAGTTATTGTGTTCTGACAGCTGGCACCCGCAGCAGCCAGAATACCCGAAGAGTGACTGCAGCTGATTGGCATTGCTGCCTCTGACTGCTAGTCTCAGGAGATATGGAGAGAGATTTGGTGATGTCACTATCGTACGGATCATTGTTCTCTTGCTGGAGAGGACGCTGTACCTGAGGACCTGCAATGCAAGGATCACCCAACTTCTGATTCAATCATTATGTAGATCTGTAATTCCTCCACCTCCTCCATTAGATGGCCATCTCATCACAGAGGCACAGTGCAGAACAAGGAATGGTAAGTTACTAATGGGGAAACAATCAGCTGCAGGGAGCCTACAGGCAATACAGGTGACTAATCCTTTGCGCTCTGCCTGCCGCTTGCGGGCACAGCTTCCATGGTAAATGTCCTCTCTAATGGGTCTCTTTTCCAGCAAGCCACCCTATTATATTATTATTTCTGATGAGTAACTAGAGCAGTGCAATCTAGTGGACTGCAATACATTTTTGCACAACCAGGTTCAGGGCCCAGTCACACCATAAAGAGTGCGTTCCAAAGTGTTCGGCCTCTGGAGCTCACTAGAACGCAACCCAACCAGCCCACTTTGTTTTGGGGCGGGAGGGTGCGTGGCGGTGCTTTGAAATCAATGGCAGCGCAGCCACGCCCACCGCCCGCAGTGAGATCGCCGGCACCCGACTGCGTGGCTTATTAGTGCCTGCTTTCCGGTCCAGTGCAGTCTGCAAAAAATGCTGCATGCACTACTTTTTGCAGATCGCACTGGACCAGAACGCAGGCACTAATGCGTTCGGGTGCCGGCGATCGCACTGCGGGCATAGTGGGTCGTGGCTGCGTTGCCATTGACTTCAATGCACCACCACACCCCCTCCCACCCCAAAATAAAGTGAGCCGGCCGAGTTGCGTTCCAGTGCTTTTAAGAGGCCGAACACTTTGGAACACACTCTTTATGGTGTGACTGGGCCCTAAAGGTGTAGGTTACAAAATGAAGGAATGATTTGATTGGCTGCTGTGAGCTGCCCAGATAGTGGCTATTCCAGCTTGTTCAATAAGTAAGTACAAAGAGCAATGATGACGACATTCATAAACCCAAATCAACCAATCATAGTTAATTTTATCATTGTGAAATCAGTAACACGCTATATTATGATTGTTTGCTATGTGTGTACATTCCACACATATCTCTGGCATGTTTCACCTTACAGAATGAACCCGCTAGTCAACCATGGTTTAAAATTGCCCCGAGCCAATGACATCTTACCGAGTATTTCCAGATGCTCCTCCTCCTGGCTTCTTTCCTTCAGCTCTGTGAACCGTCCGTCTGTATATTCCCTGTAAACCACTTTTTTGTATTTCGATCCTATGCGGTCATTATCAGAACTCACAAAAACATGTCCAGGGCTGCAAAATAGACATTTAAAGTGATATTAAAGTCAAAAGGTTTTCACGCAATTCCAAATGCTGTTTAAATCACTTACAATGGATGCTATTTTTTTGTTGTTTAAAGGTTTCAGCTTCCTGCAGAATCAGCTGGTCCCCTGAGCACTGGCTCTGATATCCTGTTTTAGGGTGACTCCTTTCCTTTGCAGGGTACTATGGAGCCACCCTTGTGTGTGCTAGTAAGCTGTGCAGAAGACTAAAATAAACCAGTAAGGATAGAGGCTATTCTGACTCCGATCGTTGTGATAGCGAAATATATCCCTTGCTGAGACCTCTATGCCTGGCCTGTATAAGCAGATATACTCACTGCGGACAATCCTCGTCAGATAGCTGAACTCGTCAATACCGATTCATTCAAAAGAGGTGTTTATTCTTAACATCAGGATTACAGCAGATGATAGGAACAGCAGTTGAACGGTTATAGTATTGTGCGGTCAGAAAATGATGCCTTTCCTACGTACTGTGCAGATTACATGTGTGTCCTTGTTACATGTGGCTCTTAACTGTGGCCATGACACAGGAAGTACTGCACACAGGAAGAAGGGAGGGGCATACATAGACTGGAAATATGTCGTCACATGGGGAACAGAAATACAGAAAAGACATGTGTGATATCACAAAGGCCACTAGATGGCAGCATAGGATAAGACATGGATTTGCTATGGGGAAAATAGTTAGGCAAAAACACACTATAATAACTCTATCTAAAACAATGCTAATATTAACTGAGGCTATGCATCTCATATTCTATGCCCCGTTGGGGCGGCACAGAGGCTGCCCAGGACCGAATCATGACACAAGATGTTACAGTCCTACCTAGGAAGAATTGCTCAGCCTGGTTGCATTTGATAAAACAAAACTTTGCTTGATGTGCAACTGCCAATGCTTGGTAAAAAAGTTCTGATAGGCTGGCTGTTTATGACAAGGGATGGTGTAAAGCTGACCATACACTGGTAGATTTTTGTATGAATGGTCATACAGAAAATCTGGTCAGAACATTCGATACTGCCATCAAAGACATGGCGAATGTCATTCTAAATTTCGTGCGATGTTAACATTTGATTTTGGAAATGATTGGAGGATCTCGAATGAAAAACATTCACTGTTAGATTTCAGAAAGATTTTCCATCCTGCTCCTTTGGTTTCCTTTGTCACTGGAGGTGAAAATGTTCATCGATTTGACCCCATCAACTACTCGAAAATCAAATGAATGTTCTGAGAATGATTTTCTTTCCAATGATATTGTATGGTGTAATGTCAGCTTTAGAGTCTTGTGTCACGGACGTCTCTCCTTGTTAGAATGTTTTCTCTGTGTACAATGGACTGCACATGTGCAACTCCTTATCATTGTCGGCATGTTTCTATGCCAGGGTGAAGTAACTCAACTGCACATGTATGGGAGCTACATCCAGGGCTGTCCCTGTAATGAGGCGATTGCCTCAGCAGGAGCGGATTTACCCTCCCTGCCACCCCGAGGCCGAGGGAATGCGGGGGCTGCAGGGTTGGTTTTAATTTTTTTATGGTTTTTTTTTGTTTCTCTCCTTTTGTTTTTCTTTTTTATCACATTACAGCTCTCCATTCTGAAGGCGGCGGCGAGGACGGAGCCGGGAGGGCGCAGCATTGAGAGAGGTAAGTGCAGGGGAGGGAGGGGGCGGCAGGGGGAGGAAGGACCGGCACTCTGATTACAAGTGTTCTCGGCGACATCGTCGAGAACACTTGTAAAGAAACAAGTAATTTCTCCTATTCTACATTTAGCTCTGCTTGTGCAAAGCAGGGCTAAATGTAGAAAGTAAATTACCACTCGGCGCCCGGAACTCTATGCTCGGGGTGTCGGGTGATTCAAACCTGTGCCGCCCCTCTGCTTAGTGCCACCCTGAGGCCGGGCCTCGGTGGCCTTTCTGGGAATCCGGCCCTATGCCTCAGGCGGCCTTGCATTGGGTGAAATGGGGCATCACTTTCCGGGCCAGAACATCCCAGGTTTCTAAGAGCTTTAAGCAACCCGTGACACTCTGGCCAGCATTCTGACCAGCTCACTGACGTCACTGGTTGCCGGCTCTGAGGATCAGGCGAGTATAACCTTTTTTTTTACCCCAGGCAAAAAAATGAACAGTTAACCCTTGCAATGTTGGTGTAGCCCCACTGCAGGGATTAATAATATTTCTGCCCGGAGTTCTTCTTATAAGCAGACGGGTCTGGAGCAGAGCTGCTACTAACCCCCCATATAGGATCATTTCTATATATCACACGTCTAGCCCTTTGCATCTCATACCTCTCATGCAGATGTGCTGTGAAGTTATGTTTCTCAAGTTCCCAGGCCCTGTCCGGACTGTAGTCCCACTCCACCTCCTCCGCAGCAATGAAGTACGTCCTCATGGTGCCATACTGGATGTCATCGTGATTCGTGGAATTGTCACATGCCTGCACCACATATGTGTGTTTCATACCACCCTTGTGATGATCCAACGTCTGACAACTCACTTCGAACTGACCTAGAAGAGGAACACAGGAGAGCTCACAACAGGCACATTGAACTCAATGGGAAATAGTGCCGACCTGCGTAGAATAAGTCTGCAAGGGGCCATCGTTGTTAATATCATTGTTATGGCTTGTATAATACATGTTAAATTAACTCCAGCCAAACGGCTAAAAACATAGATAAATACATATATTTTAGGGTTTGTATTTCTGTCCATCCAGTCCTGAAATTTACACAGCACTGCCAGACAGCATGGAGACCTGACTTGTTCCTGCTGCAGTTAACCAAGCTAGTTAGGTCACCTCCCTGCCCCCAGCCTGCAATGGAGCAGCAATAGATCAATTAATTCTTCTTTACTCTCTCCTCCTGGCAACAAGTTCTTTGCCAGCCCAGCTTTCCACTGCTTTTGTTTTTGACATTTTTTGTAGACGGAGTTCAGCTTTAAAGGGACAACTGCGGGAAGAAAACTAAATGCAAACATGAAGCACATATCTGTGTTACCTGCCAAACGTTTGTAAAGTAATGTACCCAAAACTGCAGTGCTGAGTACTCTTTAGGTCACATTCACACAGGGGCGTCCCGAGGCCGGGTGTCACACAGCAGCACATATTCACGTTTACTTTACTCCCCTACTGCTCCGTTGAGCACCGAAGACAATTCCTGGTACTTGTGGCCGATGTAATTCAGCTAGACCAAAAATGCAAAGCCCTGTACGAGTCCGGGAACTCATAGCTTTAATAGGGCCATCCAGCATGTGCGGTCATCTAATTGACGCCTGCCCGCGGCCGTCTTGGTGATGGACGACGGTGTCCTATCAAAGATTGTGACTGCGTTAGAATGTGTGACCAGAAATCAAAAGATCTCGCTGCACTCCTTACCGAAGTATCAAAAAGACCCGTATGGCCGGGTGGGTGCTTGTAGTGGCCACCGATGGCACCGTGAAAAGATCAGATAGAAAATAATGTCACCAGCATTCCAAAGGATAATCAAGCAATAGTCCATTTATTAGCACATTGCCATTCAAATGCAAGCGCTTTCGGGGCCTCAGAGGGTCCCCTTCATCAGGCTCAGAATTACCAGAATGTGTGACCAGTCACGTGATCACACATTTTAACGTAATCATGCTCACTTTTTCGGCGGTTGAATATGTGACCGGAGAAAGCGTTGGAATTCTTCACCTTTTGCCGGTCACATATTTCACCGCCGAAAAAGTGGGTGTGATTATGTTAAAATGTGTGACCACATGACTGGTCACACATTCCAACCCAGTCACAATCTTTGATAGGACACCGGCAGAGAGAGGAGGGGACGTTCACCCAGCGTGATGAGGTATGCCGCCGGGTCCCCTCCTCTCTCCTGACACTGTCGGGCTCTCGGCCCATGACCAAGTGCCCGACTTTTTAGAGGGGTGATACCAAAATGACTGTCAGTCATTTTGGTGTCACCCCTCCAATGGTGTCACCCGGGTGCGCGCCGCATCCCCCTTGTGATGCCACTGCATTGACATCATAGCATTCCGGGAACACGCATCACGTTTGCATGCAATCGTGCGTGTTCATGAGCTGCATTTGCCACCAGTCCCCATTGAGTTCAACGCAGTCCTGAGCGTGCGACAAATGTGGCAAAAAAGCTCATGTAGCAAATTTTGTGACACGTGTTCTGCGTTTTTGCACGCAAACGTGGAGGGAACAGGCGCCATTTCCTGGCCATGTTTTAGGTGCCATTAGAAATTAATGGCAACGCAAACGTGTTTCATGTTTTGCCGTGTTACCATCAACGCTCACCAAAGTGCGCATTTTTGTGCGCGTTTAGTGCGTCCACGGAACGCTCAGGTGTGAAAACGGCCTTAGAGCTTGCAGCTCTACACACTACCCTCCTCCTGCCCGTTCTGTACACTACACTATGTGGATGTCACCGCACTGCTGATATCACGTTCTCTTCCAGAGACTCCTCCATTTTCCACAATTATTTTTAATGGAGAAAACTTTCTGGTGCGTGAAACGGTTTTGCATCTTGCGCAAAAAGTAATTGACATGAGTCACCTAAGTTATAGGCATGCATGGTCACAGTCATCGTCGTGTGTGGGAACATGTTGACGATGTCCCTCCTCATTCCAGCAAAGTCGAGTATGTTCCCATGGAAGTGGACGCCATGAATATCCAGCTCTGTGCCCATGCCAAGCAGATGCCATGACACATTGTCCCTCTGACACATGACGAGGCCAGGCAGGTTTCCATACATGTAGCCATTGATCGCTGCAGAGAGAAAACACATCACCGTCATGAACTTCAGCCTTTCAGTCTCACTTACAATTACTTTTTTATTAGTGACCCTTTGACTTTCCCTTTGCTCACCCTTCTTCCTTTATGTTGTGTTAAAAAGAAGCAAGAATGGCCCTTTGTAAGAATCTGAATCCCCAATCCATAATTGTTATGATATTTAAACTTTCTATCAGGGAGGCATGCGTGTGCTGTTATTTAGTTGTATTCTCTCCCTGTCAGAGCAGAGGTCAGCCCAGTGTCAGGATGTAATGGCCCATGGAGGCTGACTTGTCTATTGTTCGAGCCCAGGACTGATGGCTAACATTGTTAGACTGCTGGAGGTGGGTAAGGACCTTCATCAATGGGATTTTGTTTAAAAACGACATCTCCCCCATATAAGGGCCGCTTCACACCTTGGCGACACCTCACCGCGCGGCAATCATGCACTATTCGGCACGGATTGCTGCGCGGTCAGTAGTCGCCAAGGTGTGAACCGATCACCCAGTGGGTGCCATTATTTTCTAATGGCACCCCAGTCGCGCCGGGCGGATCATGCGGCTTCCCGCCACCATCGTGGCTAAAACAGTGTATCGCCAAAAAAAGGGTACATGTACCTTTTTTCTGCGATTGCCACGCGGATGTCACCTCATTGAAATCAATCGCTGCCTGCATTGTGCAGGACCGCACCGGGCCTGAGTGAGCGGGAATGCAAAAGCAGATTGAAACAGATTGAGGAAGCTTGGAAGGTAGTCAAGTGCAGGTCAACAGCAAGTTATTAGCACATGTCAATGGATTCTGAATGATCATCTCAAATGCAAGCAAGCTACATTTGCCTGCTAACACAAGCACCACACATGCATGTAATCTTGGCCTCACATGTTTGACATTTTATTCAGTGTCTCTGATCAGCACTGAGCACAGGTAGAAGATGTGATCAGCCTTTCAGCAACAACCAAAATTTTCAAAAGCAAGATGGAAGCCTCTGTATCCCACTCAATACAAGATTCCTTTAAATAGGTTTTAGCTATTTATAACAATAAGACTTAAAGTGTATCCAAAAACAGAAATAATAAGAGTCACACAAAACAGGGAACTAGGTTTAAGTAGGAAAGTTACAGAAAGTAGGGAGGAAGATGAACCCTTGCGATTTGTTGCTAAATTTTTAGAATATACAACAAATCCTGGCATTGGCTGCAAATAATATATTACAGCTTACCAATCCTTAGATGTGGTGGCTGCATTAGTTTTGACACTCTATGACGGAGCAATGTGGCCACCCTTGGAGAGCAGCATTGTCACATTGTCACCTGGTGGGGAGGGTGGTGTTAGATGGACTAGAACATTCAGATGGACTTGACTCGCTAAGTAAACCTCAATTCCATCTAACACTTGTTTAGCAATTATAGCAAACGTTTTTTTTTTTCTTTTCAGAATAAAGGTTTTAAATAGTGATGTACTGATACCGGTTTTTCAGTATCAAGTACGAGTACCGATATTCTGGTTTCGGTACTTGCCGATACCGGTGCTTCTGCTGACATGAAGCCGGCTTGCCGGGCAATCAGGAAGCTGGGCGGCAAGCAAGGACATGCCGCCCAACTTCCTGATACCCAGGAAGCCGGCTCCATGTTGTGTGGCCGGCTCGATTGTGATTGGCTGGGTAACTGGCTTCCCAGCCAATCAGCATCGAGGCGGCTTCCTGGCCAATCAGGGAGCCAGGCGGGAAGTAATGACCTACCTACCTCCCTGATTTGCTGGGGAAGCAGACTCCATGTTGATTGACTGAAAAGCCCACTTCCCAGCCAATCAGCAAGAAGCAGGCTGTTCGGTCTGCTCGATGCCGATTGGCCGGGAAGCCAGCTTCCCAGCCAATCAGCATGGAGTCGGCGTCCCGGCTAATCAGGAAGCCGGGTCATTACTCGCCTCCCGGCTTCCTGATTGCCCGGAAAGCTGGCTCAATGTTCCCCTATGGCACCGATTTCGGTATCGGGTGAGGGTATAGAAGCATTTAAGCGAGTACGAGCACTCACCAAAATACTCGGTATCGGCACTGATACTAGTTTCGGTATCGGTGCATCCCTAGTTTTAAATAATGAATAAAAGCTGATCATTGTAGGCACCCCTGTCAGTGTTAAATGGTTTGGCCCAACCTTCTAGCTGACACTTTTGTTGACCTGGTAAAGGACATTAAAAATATGGCATTACTGACCGGATAACCAGGTGAAAATAAAGGGGGAAAAAGTCTTAAAAAAAAGAATGAATGCAGCCAGCACATCTAAGAATTGGCAAGCTGCAATATATTAAATGGGTTTAGATACACTTTAGTTTGTTGTAGTGCAGAAAATTTACAACAGAGGGTGATACAATTCCACCATAGAGAATTAGAGGATTTCCCGAAGATGAAAAAGAAATTGGTATCCACGGATGTAATCACATATTCTCAGTACATAGCATGTACCAAGAAAAAGATACTCAAAATAATTTTTATCTCAATTCTTAAAAAAGAATAAAACCCAAATAATTTTTTGATGTAGTTCAATGTTTTAAATGGGGTTTCTAATTTCTCATGCACAGGGGCACTGGCCTAATTAAATACTCATTTTAACCCTGAATGTTGCTGGCAAAATCTGGCAGAAAGATTCAGCGTGAAAAATGCATGTAATGGCATTGTAAATACTTGCAGTTATGTGTGTACAGTGTGTAAAAATGTAAACTCATTCCAGTGACTACAATATTAACTTAGTGTAGCCAATAAAATAAATGTACATATTGTGGCATTGCGTGGCAATACCACGGTGTTGGGTGGCCTCAAAGTCACCCAGGGTTCTCAGCCAGAGGGGCTGAGTGGCTCCAGGAAGAAATGACTTATACCAGGAGAGAACTGCCTTTTCAGTCCTTTACGGGTTTTCTGGATCACAGTTGGGATTCTGGAGCCAGGAGATTTCTTAGAGCTCTGGGTGGGACGAAATCTCCAGTCCTGGGTCCATGGGTTAGTAGTGACCAGCACCTGATTGTGCACCTGTGCACATCCCTCATGAAGAGTGTGCTGGGATGTGTTCAGGGCCCCACCTGGGAGACAGGAGAACTCCACGCAGGAGTCAGTGCAGCAGGGTGCTGCAGGTTTGTGAAGTGAGGATTGGCACGTGATTGAAGTTGTCTGGGGGAACCAGACAGTGGCCCTGAAGATTGAGGCCGGAGCAGCAGTGCTGCAAGAGAAACTATTAAAAGACTAGGACATCGTGAGTGTATGGAACAACTCTGTGATTGGTGAGCCAATATACAGTATATATTCTGCTGAAGACCAGCTATTGTATGTTGAGCTTCCTTGAGTATCTGCTGTTGAAATACCAATAAAGACTTTTCGTTCATGGAAATACGCTGTGTGAGTGCTCTGTGAGCTCCCCAACATCACAATATATACAATTTTACAGGCATTGCATTTTACACTAGCGTACATGTATTTATGTCAGTATGCTCCTCTATCTGAACACACGCTTTTTATTTTTGAGGGATTTTTTTAGATCCTCGGGTGCTGCTCTAGATTATGAATCTAAATGCATGGCCACATATAAAGCTGCATTCAGAGGCATAAAAAAAAAAGTATGGATCTAAAATTGAAGTGCTTTCGGTCCATCTGCATGAGGACTGCTGTACACTGCAATCAAATTCCCTTATATACACATGTAAAATTCATGGGGGGTGGCAGTGCAAACAGTACCAGCTGGGCTAGTCTGTAGCAGGTCATGCAGTAAGGCCATAGCAAGACAAAACAGGAAAATATTCATGTTTAGCAGGTAACAAAATTCTAGTAATGAGAGATATGGGACAGACACGGCAGCATGACACACAGGGAACAATATCCAATTGACTCTCTATAGGTACATATGAATACTTACTTCGGTAACAAAAGTAGAATGGCTGTCCTTGAGGTTCTTAGCTTTCACTATGGGTGTGCTAGTGCTGGGGGAGATTCCAGAGCACAATGAAGACTGTCAATGCCCCCATTAAAGCTTGGTCAGTGTAACTGTCCCCTTACATTGGTGTTGTTTAGTGTAGTAAAACTTTACATTGGCGGGGAATGTTATACAATCATTACATCGGTAGTTAGTAGGAGAAAGGCCCCCTTACATCAGTGGACAGTGTAGAATCATTACAAAACACAAAAAAATCCCCAGCTTCACCTGCCAGCTAGCCTTCAACCAAACAAATTGCCCTGTCAACAGTATGCGTTAAAATCAAAGGTTTTAGTTGCACAAACATTTGGCCAAAAATATGTAGAAGCCACACCGCCGCGCTAAGGCACCTCTGCAAAGTGTGGTCCTAACTCTATGTATACGAGTCTACAAGTGTGAGCATATTAATGCAGTCGACCTGCATGCAATTTATCGACTGCATTAATATGCTCACACTTGGAGACTCGCATACATAGAGTTAGGACCACACCTTGCAGAGGTGCCTTGGCGTGGCGGTGTGGCTTCTACATATTTGTGGCCAAATGTTTGTGCAACTAAAACCTCTGATTTTAACGCATACTGTTGACAGGGCAATTTGTTTGGTTGCAGGCTAGCTGGCAGGTGAGCTGGGTTTTTTTTGTGTTTTGTATTGTTGTAAGCCTTCCCAATGTGCGCCCTGCCTAAAAGGCTGGTTATAGATTTATGCAGGTTCCTTCTCGACAGTGTAGAATCCCCTTACATAGTTAGTAAGAGAAGGGCCCCTTACATTTGTGGGCCGTGTAGAATCCCCTCACATTGGTAGTTAGTAGGAGAAGGCCCCCCTTATATCTGTGGGCAGTGTAGAATGCCCTTACATTGATAATTAGTAGGAGATGGGTCCCCTTACATAGGTTTGTAGGGTAGTGGGCTGGATTGAGGATTGCAGTTTGCCAATCTGCCACTAGATGTCCCCATAGTTAATAGTGAGTGACTGAGGGAGTCACTGTATAGTTAGAGGTAGCTCTGCCATGAGGGAGCTCTATGGTCCAGGGAGGGCCTAGCCTATGGGGGGGCCAGTTTTTGTTGTGCCCATGCAAGAGTCGGGGGCCATGCCCCTTTGTAGTGCCTAGTGCTTTTGTGTGTTTTTGGGGTCCTGCCCGTTTTCATTTTTAGCCTTTGGAGTTAGGCTTCTATGTTTGAGGTGTTTCTCAGTACGAGGATGTACTGTATTTTCCTAGGAAGGAGTGTAGGGTAGTGGGCATGATTGAGGATTACAGTTTGCCAATCTGCCACTAGATGTCCCCATAGGTAATAGTGACTGAGGGAGTCACTGTAGCGTTAGAGGTAGCTTTGCCCTTAGGGAGTTCTGGGAGAGCCAAATATATTGTTTTCAGCGGGCGAGCCGCCCAGGATAGCAGTTGGCAGCACAGGGGAGTGCACAATAATTATTATGTAGCTGAAGGCTGGTCCATGGGAAGGCACAGGACCAGGCCTGCCACCATGTAGTCACTGTGGATATCTGTCAGCTTCCCTTATGGGGAGAAGCAAAGGAGTGCAGGAGTACCACTAACATTATAGGACTACACACATGCCTTTAGGATGTAGGACTCTGGGCAATACCTCTCCATTGGCTCTGGGCTACACCTCGACTAACCTCCTCTCTGCTATCTGTTGGTATGCTGTTGGTTGATGTGCCGTCATCAGCAACCAGAAAGACTGAAGCTTGCATTATATTGTATATAATAAGTAGGGATGCACCGATATATCGGCCGCCGAAACATAACGGCCGAAAATGGCACTTTTGGAATAATGCCGAAAGAGCCATGTTTCGGCCGATACATCGGCGCATCCCTGGTTTCTTTCCTCCCCGCTGGGCACTGCTTTGTGTTCCAGCGGGGAGAAAAGAAAGTGACAGCCAGCCGAGCGCTGCAGGACGAGAGCGCTGTGAGCGGCCGGCGTCTCTCCTCCCACACCGCTCAGCCGCCTATCACAGTCCGGCAGACTGGTGTGGGGGCGGAGACAGCGATGTCACAGGAGGCTGGGCTTTCCTCTCTAAACCGCTCGATCAGCCTCCTGTGACAGCGTGTCAGAGAGAAAAGCAAGGTACACACACTTAGCGATCAGTGATCACTGAGTGTGTGTACATAATTGAGGATATGGTATGTTAACTATATCCTCAATTATGAATGAATGGGAGTGATCTACATCACCTTTACATCACCCCCATTCATTCATAATTGTGGTTATAGTAAACAAACAATGTACTCATGTTATCAATGAACAGGAACACTCATAGGAGGATTCCTGTTCATTGATAACAGAGGACACAGAAAAAGAGATTGAGGACTCTGTGTTCCATCAGCTTCTTTTGGGGGACCTAGGTGACATTAGGGGTCTTGGAGACCCCTGATGTCTCCATAAAGAGGACCTGTCACATATTTTGCTATCACATAGGGGAGTTTAATTAGTATGTGTTAGCAATAAAGTTTAGTGTGAAAAAAAAAAAATTCCCGTTCCCCCCCAAAATGTAAAGTTACACATAAAAAAGAATAAAAAAACAAAAAAATATTTAAAAGTCCCCACCCATACATACACGCATGCAAACATGCGTCGGGGGCGCATACGTGCAAATTACGCCGCACATGTTACATATCGCCGCGAACGTCGGAGTGAGAGCAATAATTCTAGGGCCATCAATCACTGATAACACTAAACTAATGAGCGGTAAAAGCTTTTAAAGTGTCGTCTATGGCCAATTTTGGGTATGGTAGTTTTCTGCGATTTCACGGGTGCGCGCAATTTTAAAGCTTGACGTGTTTGGTGTCTATTTACCTGACGTGACCCGATCTTTTATATTTTACCAATAAACTGTGTAATAATAAATGTTTCCTAACATAATGTTAAAAAAAAAACCCGCATTGGTGTTTAAATACCACCAAAAGAAAGCTCTATCTGTCCCCAAAAAATTGTATAAAATTCATTTCAGTACAGCGTTGCATGACGGAATAAACGTCAGTCAAAGTACCACAGCGCTGAATACTGAAAAATGGCCTGGCCAGGAAGGGAGTCTAGACACCTGGTCTTGAAGTGGTTAAAGGAGTGTATGTGGGGAGAGATCACGGCAATGCTACTCAGGCCAGGCATAGGTTGCTCTCAGAGGTGGCCATGAGTACCTTGAGAGCCCTTTGTTCATAGTTTTCCAGGGGATCTGAGCCACTACAAGGGCAGCCAGAGAAAAAAAAGAGTTCATGGATGCCTGGTGGGCAATCTAGAACTCTCTTACATTAGTACTCAGTAGGAGAAGGGCTCCCTTACATTTGTGAGCAGTGTAGAATCCCCTTACGTTGGTACTCAGTAGGAGAAGGGCCCCCTTACATTTGTGGGCAGTGTAGAATCCCCTTACATAGGTAATTAGTAAGAGAAGGTCCCCCTTACATTTGTGGGCAGTGTAGAATCCCCTAACATTGGCACTCAATAGGAGAAGGCCCCCTTAAATTTGTGGGCAGTGTAGAATCCCCTTACATTGGCACTCAGTAGGAGAAGGCCCCCTTAAATTTGTGGGCAGTGTAGAATCCCCTTACATAGGTAATTAGTAGGAGAAGGGCCCTCTTGTATCTGTGGGCAGTGCAGAATCCCCTTACATTGGTCCTCAGTAGGAGAACGGCCCCCTTACATTTGTGGGCAGTGTAAAATCCCCTTACATTGGTGCTCAGTAGGAGATGGGCCCCCTTACATTTGTGGGCTGAGAAGAATCCCCTTACATTGGTAGTAAGTAGTAGAAGGGCCCCCTTATATTGGTGGCCATTGTAGAAGAACTGTAGAAGTAACTTCTTACACTGGGGATAGTACTGGAGGCCGTGTGGTGCCTCCTTATATCATCATTTTGTTAAGTGCTGCGAAACTGTTATTATAATAACAATAATATTGGTGGGCAGTGTAGTACCCCCTTACATTGGTGGTCCATGTAGCACCCCCTTACATTGGTGGTCCATGTAGCACCCCCTTACATTGGTGGTCAGTATAGCACCCCCTTACATTGGCAGGCAGTGTAGTAGACTGGTGGTCAGCAGGAAAGCTCCCTCCCCCCATCCCTTACATTGCTGTTTCATGGTTAGGATTTGCAAAATAGAGACTGGTGCCCATGCTGCTGGCTTTTCTCTGTGCACACACTGTCTGGAAAAAAAAAAAAATTCTGGTTTGCAACCAACCCCCCTTCAAGTGTGTTACCGTGCATTTGGTTTGACTCCTGAAACTCTTCATCTTCTCTGTCAATGGTGGCCGGGTCTAAAGAAACCATGGCGAGGTTTTCTTCCAAATACCAACTCAGGTTCTCATCAAAGATTGTGAACAGCAAATAAAACTCTTTATCTATCTGCACCTTGAAGAGAGAAGTCATGTGTAATTGACAGGTATAGATTGCATGTATAAACAGGTATGTTTACCTACTTGTTTACATAATCCAGACTTTGAAGGATAAGTGCACTTTGAAAGTACAAAGCTACATTTGAACCTTCCCCTACTTCACAAAATTTATGAAGACAAACTTCTGATGCATAGTTCAGGAGCTTCCCACTACCTGGCCTGCACAGGGCTGAACAGTAATTTCATGCTGGCCACATACATTAGCTAATGGACTACTTTTCTCCTTGTAAACTGGACAAAAATCACTATCTATGGCCAATGCCTGCACATGTGCAGCTGTGCAGAGGCTTTCGGCTACCAAGAGGTTCTGCTTGGTTCTAAAAAGGCCATACAATGTAAAGCTCGGCATCTCTGTCTTTATCAAATTGCTAAGGAGGGCAAGAAAATGTGTAGTGGCTCGTGCTCTAATGCATACTTATCTTTAGGAGGGTTGTGTAGTAAAAATACTCTATATGGGCAAAAGTTTGTAGACACCTGATCATCACACCTACACTATATGACCAAAAGTATGTGCACCCCCCTCCAATTTTTCAGTTCAGATTTTTCCAGTGAGGGCCACTGTTAATGGTATAACATACAGAGACATTTTAGATGTTTGCTTGCAACCTTGTGGTAACAGTTTGGTGAAGACCCTTTTCTGTTCCAGCATGACTGTGGATCTGCGCACAAAGCCAGCTTAATAAAGCCATGCTTTTGATGAGTCTGGTGAAGGCCCTTTTCTGTTCCAGCATGACTGTGCCTCTGTGCACAAAGCCAACTCAATAAAGCCATGGTTTAATTAGTTTGGTGTCAAGGAACTCGAGTGGCCTGTGCAGAGTTCTGACCTCAACCCTACTAAACACCTTAGAATTGAATTGGAATGCTGGTTGCGAAACAGGTCTTTTCCCCCTAACTTCAGTATCTGACCTCACAAATGTGGGTTTGGATGAATGGACACATATTCCCACAGCCATACTCTAAAATCTTGTTGAAAGGTTTCCCAGAAAAGTTAAAGCCACAAGGGGGAGCAAATCCATATTAATGCCCATGATTTTGGACTTGGATATCCTATAAACTCATATAGGTGAAGGTCAGGTTTACAAACTTTTGGCCATATACTGTATACTGCTTACTAAGGGTTAACATCACCAGAATTGCATCTTTTACCTACTCCATGGCTTATTAGACACTATACACCCCCACACTAAAATGTCACACTAAAATGATTTTTGTCCCTCTCACATGTTTAACTACACCATGCTATCAATACTTTGCCCTTCACACTCCACATTTACAGCCACATTTGTTTTCTGAAGTCCTCATGTTCTATGAACAGAAAGCTAATGGGTTCAGTAGACTAAAAGAGATTTGCCAATCTCTTGCTTCTTTGCTTACTACCCTTTCTTATTAGTCCTAATCTGCCACATGAGTGATGTTCATATTGAGCTCTTTGCCTAAAAACCATCATATGATAGCTGATTGCTGAGATTAATCATACTCATACACTTCTATAGTGACTGATAGAGAAGCACAATTGTCTGGTTTTTTAAAAATTTGCTTTAACACCATAGACAATTATAAGCACCTTCTTCCCCAGTACCTGTGTGTTGTCCGGATGAAGAGCACCCTTCTTGCAGACCAGCAGAGGTCCCACCAGTCCAGAATTAGTGTCCCTGGCTGGGTCAAACGCAGAGTAGTATAGGTAAGTCAGGCAGTTTGGATCAGTGGTAGTAGGTCCATTTTCTTCTAGTGCTTTCCAGGTGTATGTGAATTTCTCTCCAGGTCCAACATGTGATCCTCCCTTCTCAATGCCCCCTACCAAAGAAAACATTCAAATAAAGACCTTGCTTTTGGCATTAATAGTTGTCATAACGTTAAAGAAGAGTTCCATGAATTATAGAAGCAAACCACAAGAGACCTTCCTGACATCTCTGAAAACTGCACAGAACACACAACAGTACTATTAGCTCAAAGTGTCTATTCTCTGTGCTTTCAGCTTCAGTCCCTGCTATTTTATAAATGAAATTAGTTGCCACAACGGAAGTCTATGGAGCCGCCATTTGCAGCAAATAATTTATTCAGAAAATAGCAGGGACAGAAAGTAGCGAGTACATGGAACAGAAGCACTGATCTAACAGAACTTCTTTGCTCCAATCACAGTTTTCTTAGCGCTATATCTCAGAATATAGGCTGTCCTTGCCATAGATAATTCATGGAGCTCTCCTATTAATGTCTGCTGAGAATCTTTAACACCTCGACAGGGAAAGCAGCAGGATAGCAGATGCCAGAAGAGCTGTGGGACTAGGATTGTAAAAGGAAGCTGTCCGTTAAAGATTCAAGTCAAAGTGTATAGTTTAGTCATGGATCAATACTGGTGGGTGATAATCCTCAGATTTCTTATGGACTTCCAAGCTGCAGAGAGCAGTGGTTTAGCTCTTTGAAGGTGGTAAGAAGAACATTGTTTTTCTGGTTTAAGAAGGCTTTGCTGTAATTTACAGTTTTTTTGGTGGAATATTTGTTGGTTCCTTCTGATCCTCTCACCAGAACCATAAGTCATGAGTCATAATTCCATTCAAGTTTTCTCTTTTTGTAATATCTTTCACAAAACCTAATATAATAGCTTACCATCCTCATATGGGGCACCTTCTGAGTCTTTATTAAAAGACAGGCCATGAGCCATGATGCTGTAGTTCCTGTCAGCCATATTCTTAAACACAACAACAATTGTATCTCCTACTTCAGCCTTAATCACTGGGCCTAAAAAATCAAAGTGAAGAAAACAATCAATTTTCAATTTATTTTTATCTGAGAATTAAAGGAAATATCTGTGGAAACACATGTTGTCTAAAATAAAGCTTCCCTCAGGCTACTTTATAAACAAGGTCAGCTATGAAATGGAATATCGCAACCTAGAAGAAAACAAAAATACTAGTAAGCTTAATCAATAACATTATTGACAGAATCCTATCAGTTCTGTCAAGCCCCCAGAAGCCTCCATAAGAACAATGTGTGGAAAACCCCAGGCTGCCTTCAATGGCACCACTGGGTTCATGGGTTTGCTGTGCATTCAGGCCAAGAGGAGTGAGAGGATGGATACCTTATAGCACAATTTTATTTTGGATAGAGTTGGGAAGAGGCAGAGCTTCGGCTATGTTTTTTTAATATTGTCTTTGTCCCGGGGGGAAGGAAGGGAGATCACTGGCATTGCACCTTACCGCATGGTACCTCCAGCGTTGGTGATGCACTGGTTCCAGCTCTGTCTGGCATCTCGCTCAACTCACTGACGTCACTGGTTGCCATGAGCTGGATGGGATGCCAGCCAGAGTATCCCAGTCACCTAATGGCACACAATAACATCAGTGAGTTGGGCAGGACGCCGGACAGAGTGCCACAAGTTGCTAAGAGCTCTTAGCAACCTGGGACTCTGGCCAGACAAGTGCACCTGCCATTCCCCCCATGTAACCCAATAATATGCCTCCTGGCCTGAGGCAACCACCTCAGGCTCCATCATTATAGGGATGGCCTTGCTTCTCACTTTCTGTCAGGACAACAGGTGCAAAACCACAATTCTAGTCAAGTGGGAAAGGGTTACAACTTCTGACAATGTCATATTATTATTTGTGCCTTCCTGTTTCGGTGACAACCTCTCACCCATTTCAGGCGTCACAAATGAAAGGCTGAACATTCAAACGTCCCATCGCACGCCCGACAAATATTACCCATAATATGTGAGTGGGTACTGCAGATGGAACCACCAATCAAACAGTAATGAACAAAGTATTCACCAACACTCCAATATTTGTTATTTCAATTCTTTTTTTTATTGACATACAGAGGCTAAACATTGCTACACATTGCTAGCTACACATTGTGACATGACCTCTGTATGTCAATAAAGATGAAATGACATAACAAATATTGGAGTGACGATGACTACTTCATTCATTACAAATTAAGGGTTGACACATTTTAACTCTTCCCAACTGTATCTACAACAAAAAAAGATAGGCCTCTGGATGCCAGAGAGAAGTCATCCCTTCTACACTTTATAGTTATACCCTAGATTGGATGCCCACATATCCTCTCTGTGACAACCTCAGGCTCAGTGATAGTCTCAGAAGCCAGCCTGGCTGGTGTTTGATCCCTTTCTCTCTCGGCTGCGCATTGACCAAGTTTGGGTGCCTATCTGCTGAGCCTTTTATGAAGGCTTCCTTCAACTACATGTCTGAGATTCTAATTGTTCATTTTTTGAGCATATTAAAAAATTTAACTCTTGCTTTGGTTTCATAGGTCAAAAGTGTTAATTCTTAAACGTGCCAGAAATATGGGCAATATGATAAACATCTAATACTATGAATCCCAACCTTACAGCAAAGAGATTGCATTAAGTTAAATGGTTAAAGCTCATGTGGTGTTGGTAGTAGTGACAATAAATAAACTTATTTGAAACATTCTGTGGAAAGCATTTGGTACCCAGGATTCCAAGATGTTTTTCATCTTCCGTGCGTGTCTTTGTAACACTAAATGATTCATCTGTATACTCTGTATAATGGACTTTCCAGTAAGATCCTCCAATCCTGTCAGAGCTCTTTGTGAAGAAGGTTGCAGAATCACTAAAAAAAGAGAAATAAACAAAATAGAGAAAAATTCCATATTTAAAGCAGAATTATACTAGGTTGAAGGCAGCACCGTGCATTGCTTCCACTCTCCGACCGTTAAACCAATTATTATGCTTAGTATTTTTCTCAATATACTGCATTCTTAAACTGCCACCAATCATCTTGGCTGGTCTTTCTGAGGCTCCTCACCTCTCCTAGTGGGTGTGGTTAAAGCAGAGGAATTGACCTTACAAAAGGAAAGACTTAGGGTTGGCTTGGGAGGAGATACAGATCTATGTAGCACCAGGCAACCTTCCTTTTGCAGATTGCTGAGTGTCCTGATGGGTGGGAGGTGGAGGAAAGTCCATGACCTCTGAGCTAGACAGTTATAACATATAAAAGCAGAGGTCAGAGATTCCAGGGCCCTGCTGTTATACAAGCACACCACCTAAGACACATATACATGCAACCACTGGGAAGACCCTTGTACATTAAAGTAGGGATGCCACTTTTTCTTCAAGCGAAACCTGAACACTCTATCGACGCACGGACATTTGTTTAGGAAAATGAGCCGTGTCATGTTCATATGTAAATAGCGCCACCCATTCATATGTAAATATCACAGTTGAGACTATTTTCAGTGGGGGGCCAGTAGTCCCTATGTTAATTTTGGCTGCCCCTGTCTGCCTGACATCTTGTGTCCGGGTTTCTGCTTCCATGAAACCCGTACACAGTATTCAAAACCTGGACTGTCCGGGTGAATCCTGGACAGGTGCCAACCCTACATTAAAGTGATATTACACACTCAATGTAAAATGTGGTACAGAGCAGCATACTAAAGGACTCACCATGCTTGCTCTTTGCTTTCTGTGTGCAGCCTGTCATTTCACAGCAATCTTCATTTGCAGCCTCTGTGTACTCAGGGCCAGATTTCCCACAAGGCCAACCGAGGCCCTGCCTTGGGGCAGCAGGGAGTAGAGGGGTAGCTGGGGTGTGGAATTCCCGATGCCCGGGACATGCAGTTCTAGGCGCTGGGTGGGTAGTTGTTTTCTACGTTTAGCTCTTCTATGGGCAAGCTGAGCTAAATGTACAGCAGGGAAGCCTGCATACAGGGGGCGCATTGAGGAACCTGGTGTTGGGGCAGCAGAGAGAGTAAATCCGGCCCTGTGTGTACTCCCATAGTGTATTGAGGGTGGCTCCACTGCCTAGCAGCGTCTAATGGAGCCACCCTTGCGTGTGTGCCCTAACCTGTGACATTCATGTATGCACCTCGTTCTCGCAGGCCTAGGGGTGATGGTGGTCGTGTGATGCAACTACAGCAAGCTCTCTACAATCCATGAAGGGCACGCATGTGCTGTTTTATGTAAGGGGGCAGATGGACTACATAAAGCTGGCATGGGCATGCCTGGCGCGGGAGTGCGCATGTGCAGGTGCTATTAATGGGATAAGGGACAAACCACTGTTGACATGAGTGGTCATGTGACCGCTACAGTGCATGCTCCCTGTGCTGCCTGTCCTCCCCGGCCTGAAGTTGGAAGAGCAAGCATACATCCATAAGGAGCAAATGCCACACAAAAGTAAAAGAATAAAGATATATGCCACAAAATGAAGGATGCTGTAGGTTGTCCAGATGTAAGTGAATACTTTTGAATAAAAAACAAGCATGGTTTAATGCTACTTTAATGCACACTTCTTCCTACCAATTCTGCAATAAATGCTTGTATAAATGGTGAGGACACAGTCCTGTTTTAAAGGAGAACTCTGAGCAAAGACGAACTCCACAGTACTAAGGGAAGCGCCTTCTTTCTGAAACCTCTCTTATGATGTTTTCCTCACTCCAATGCTGTTTTTGCACCCTGCACAGAAGACATGTGCTGTAAGGAAATGATATTAACATGGGTGCAACTTTGGGTGCAACTAAATTTCACAACCTGTTGTTAAAAAGCAAACATAAAGGACCCTTTACGTGATAAATATTTTTGGCAATTTACCTCTCTGGATCATCCAAAGCCTGGTTGGTGAATGTGTCATAGTTCTTTGGTGCGTAGTTCCAGAGCACTTTCTCTGCTGCAATAAAATATCTCCGCACAGGTCCCAGTGGCAGAGGCGTAGGGGTTGTTCCACAATTGCCAACATTATATAAGCCCAACATGCCAGCTAAGAAAGGAAAAAGGAAAAATGTTAGCATGTATGTAAAGAAAAGCCAAAAAACTATTATCCTTCCATGGCGCCCCAGAAAGGCTAAAAGCTTAAAATATAAATTTTTACATAAAATTCCACAAAGGGTGTAAAAAACCCAAAGAAAACCCTCTAAGAAATGCAGAGGCTGCTATTGCTGAACTTGCCCCTGAAAATGCCAGCTGCATGGCTGTTATGCCTATCTCTTTTAGTTTTTAATCCAATGCATCAGCATAAAAGTCAGGCAACGAGTATTCTTATAAAGGGATCAGCAATGGCAGCCCCTGTGTTTATCTTATAACAGGTTCACCTAAATGGATTTTGGCTCAATTCTCAAAGTCAGTCTCTACCCAACAACAAAACTTTTAACGTAAGCCAATTCACAAGTGCATTGAAACAGAAAATAAACTGGAAAGGAGGCAAGATTTGTATAGTTTAGATTTGGAGCTTTAAATCATTGTTCTATTATAAACTAGAAGTTTTTTTTGTAGATGGAATGTACAGAATTTTGCATATTTTATTGTATTTATTTATTATGATCTTGACTAGGATTTTGTTTTATTTTAAATACTTTTTCTTTTTGTGCTCAGTCGAGTAAACATTTAAAACGAAGCGCCATTCATCCATCCAATTTGTTTATGCCACCGGATGCTTAGATCTGTCAGTGTGGGCGAACGTCAAATTGCAGCAATCGCCTTGTTTATGTCTCTGTTTAAATGCATGATGCAATTTTTTTGCAGCATTTACTGTAACTATAAACACAGCTATAAATTACAACCACCCCAACCCGCCCTCCTCATACCCCACTCCATTGATATTTCCCATGTCTCCAATTCAATTCTTTTATATTTCATTTGAGAAAAAAATAACAGTATTTATGAATAAAGCATACATTCTAACCTATTAAATGGGGATGTAAATATAATGAGGGGCAATTATCAAAACTGGAGCAGACAAAATCTGGAGCAACTGTGCATGGCAGCCAATCAGCGCCTCTCTCTTATTTTCAAATCTTAACTGAACAAATTGAAGATAGAAGCTGATTGGTTGCCATGCACAGCTGCTCCAGATTTTGTCTGCTCCCGTTTTTATAAATTCCCTTCAGTGTATTTTTGGTTCTGCATTCCAAAGCATGTAGTGTCAGCCCTGCCTACCTTATTTCTGATGCATTACAAAGATCACAGCCCTCTCCTCGTCCTCATAATCCCCCTTCATCTCCCACCCCCCTTCTAATCTCTGTAACCCGTCCTCTACTTCCACCGCCTTCCTCATCTCCATAACCTCTTCTCATCTCCCTCCTCTCTTCTCATCTCTATAACCCCTCTTTTGTTCGGCAAAACTGACATTTACATCTGTAATTGTTGGAAAATACCACATTATGGCCATTAGATGGCGCCAAACAGAATATTTCCCATGCTCCTCAGCTCTATCTTGCTGACACATGTGCATGGTGGTATCCTGAATTTCAAAGTTTTTATTGGTTTCCATAAGATATAACATATTTTAATACAGGCTTTTAACATATGTATCAAAAAAAGAAAATTCAGTATTTCTCAAATCAACATTATTCCCCACATCCCCCAACCCCTATCCATAGGCCATCAAAGCTATCACCAAAAGAGAAAAAGGGGGAAAACCAGTTGTGTTATTAACATTCAGCTTTGCACCTGCCCTCGTTCTCCTCCAGAGGCTCACCCTTCCATTCGGTCACTTCTAGCTTTGGGGGTGCGGGGCCTCTCAATAAGGGTACAGCAGCTTTCGCTATATGAAAACTTATGGAAAAACTTTTTAATGTACAAAAACGGAAGAAACAAACAAAAAAGGAAAGAGAAAGAAAAAAAAATCTTATTATGTAAAGAAATAAAAGCGTTACCTAAGAGATTATAATTTCCTAGATTCCAAGCAGCAGAACACATATGCTTAAGCTAAGGCATCAGAAATAATGCTATGAGCATTTGAGATCTCTTGGTATTTCAACCAAGGCTCCCATATTGCTTCAAATTCTGCGTAGTTATCCTGCAAGATGCTAAATAATTTCTCATGGATCATGATCCAGTTCACTCTAGACAGCACCAGAGAGAATGGGACCTTTTCAGCTTTCCAGGACCGAGCTATTGATGTCTTAGCCACCAGGAAAAAAAAGGAAACAAGTTTGCTCTGCGTTCTAGAGATGTCCGGGATTAATTTGTTAAGTAAAATATACTGTGGATCTCTGGGGATATAGGTCCCGAGAATCCTAGAAAGCAGGGCAAACAAACTTTTGCAAAAAGGTCGTAGTCCTGGGCACTGCCACCAAATTATCAAAACTGGAGCAGACAAAATCTGGAGCAACTGTGCATGGCAGCCAATCAGCGCCTCTCTCTTATTTTCAAATCTTAACTGAACAAATTGAAGATAGAAGCTGATTGGTTGCCATGCACAGCTGCTCCAGATTTTGTCTGCTCCCGTTTTTATAAATTCCCTTCAGTGTATTTTTGGTTCTGCATTCCAAAGCATGTAGTGTCAGCCCTGCCTACCTTATTTCTGATGCATTACAAAGATCACAGCCCTCTCCTCGTCCTCATAATCCCCCTTCATCTCCCACCCCCCTTCTAATCTCTGTAACCCGTCCTCTACTTCCACCGCCTTCCTCATCTCCATAACCTCTTCTCATCTCCCTCCTCTCTTCTCATCTCTATAACCCCTCTTTTGTTCGGCAAAACTGACATTTACATCTGTAATTGTTGGAAAATACCACATTATGGCCATTAGATGGCGCCAAACAGAATATTTCCCATGCTCCTCAGCTCTATCTTGCTGACACATGTGCATGGTGGTATCCTGAATTTCAAAGTTTTTATTGGTTTCCATAAGATATAACATATTTTAATACAGGCTTTTAACATATGTATCAAAAAAAGAAAATTCAGTATTTCTCAAATCAACATTATTCCCCACATCCCCCAACCCCTATCCATAGGCCATCAAAGCTATCACCAAAAGAGAAAAAGGGGGAAAACCAGTTGTGTTATTAACATTCAGCTTTGCACCTGCCCTCGTTCTCCTCCAGAGGCTCACCCTTCCATTCGGTCACTTCTAGCTTTGGGGGTGCGGGGCCTCTCAATAAGGGTACAGCAGCTTTCGCTATATGAAAACTTATGGAAAAACTTTTTAATGTACAAAAACGGAAGAAACAAACAAAAAAGGAAAGAGAAAGAAAAAAAAATCTTATTATGTAAAGAAATAAAAGCGTTACCTAAGAGATTATAATTTCCTAGATTCCAAGCAGCAGAACACATATGCTTAAGCTAAGGCATCAGAAATAATGCTATGAGCATTTGAGATCTCTTGGTATTTCAACCAAGGCTCCCATATTGCTTCAAATTCTGCGTAGTTATCCTGCAAGATGCTAAATAATTTCTCATGGATCATGATCCAGTTCACTCTAGACAGCACCAGAGAGAATGGGACCTTTTCAGCTTTCCAGGACCGAGCTATTGATGTCTTAGCCACCAGGAAAAAAAAGGAAACAAGTTTGCTCTGCGTTCTAGAGATGTCCGGGATTAATTTGTTAAGTAAAATATACTGTGGATCTCTGGGGATATAGGTCCCGAGAATCCTAGAAAGCAGGGCAAACAAACTTTTGCAAAAAGGTCGTAGTCCTGGGCACTGCCACCAGACATGGAGCATAGTGCCTTGCTGTTTACAGATCCTAAAGCATAATGAACTGACGCCTGGGCCCATATTCGCTAATTTTGCTGGCCCAAGATACCATCGAGAAAAGACCTTGTAATTGGCTTCTAAGAGAGAAACATTTAACAGTCCCTTAGTTGATCTTTTAGAGCACTGTTGCCATTCTTCTAGGGAGAGTGGTGTCCCTATTTCTAATTCCCAGGCCACCATATAAGCCGTTTTAGTAAATGATCCTAGTTGGGCATCGTAGATCAGGGACGTTCCTCCCCTTTGACCTAACCCACCTAGGCACCACCGTTCATATTGTGTTAACAGCGGGGCTCCAATCTCGGGGATATGTAGGGTGGATAGAAAGTGATTGATTTGTCTAAATCTAAAATATTCAGAATGAAGCATCTTGAGAGTGTTTATACAGTAGTAATATGTGATTGGTTTATGAAGTTTAATAAAGTCCCCAATCCTATACAATCCTTTGTCTATCCACCATTTAAATGTTTTTAACTGTAATCCTGGCATAAAATTTACATTTTCAAATAGAGGCGCGAGGGGGGGGTGTGGAGAGACCATCCCCTCCTTCTTTCGGATGTGATCCCATAAGGCTAAAGAATGTAATAAGGTTGGCGCCAGTGTCTTTGGCCTCTGGTTGGATTTCATCCATTTAAGTGCCTCAATAGAGGGGCCCTTATGCAAGCTAACTTCCATCCTGACCCAGTCAGGAACAACTGACTTGAAGTATATAGATGATAATTGTGAGATTTGTGCAGCCCTATAATATAAGAGCAGATTTGGTACCCCTAAGCCCCTGGTTTCTAGGTTTGGAGAGGGTGTTTCGAGAAATGAAAAGAGCAGACTTATCTGTGCAGTCAACATATGCTTAAGCTAAGGCATCAGAAATAATGCTATGAGCATTTGAGATCTCTTGGTATTTCAACCAAGGCTCCCATATTGCTTCAAATTCTGCGTAGTTATCCTGCAAGATGCTAAATAATTTCTCATGGATCATGATCCAGTTCACTCTAGACAGCACCAGAGAGAATGGGACCTTTTCAGCTTTCCAGGACCGAGCTATTGATGTCTTAGCCACCAGGAAAAAAAAGGAAACAAGTTTGCTCTGCGTTCTAGAGATGTCCGGGATTAATTTGTTAAGTAAAATATACTGTGGATCTCTGGGGATATAGGTCCCGAGAATCCTAGAAAGCAGGGCAAACAAACTTTTGCAAAAAGGTCGTAGTCCTGGGCACTGCCACCAGACATGGAGCATAGTGCCTTGCTGTTTCCAGATCCTAAAGCATAATGAACTGACGCCT